AAGACTAATTTTGATTCCACTCGCAGCTTCACTCACCCCTACTTATGCATGCTAGTGGTAAGTAAAGCTGACTGATATAGATTCACTCAACTTTTTATATTAAAAATATTATTCTTCAAGCAAAAATAGCTTTTTTTATATATAGGAAAAAAAAGAAAAATTTCAACGAGTTCAATGAGTTTTCAAACTCATATTTCTAACAGTCAACAAAAAGGTGGACATGCAGGTTAAGCACATGTTTATACACTGTCCAGCCCCGTGGTGTTAGTCTGTGCTTAATTCATGCTTCTTCCATTCACCCATTTATTTAAAAATGTAAAGTCTGGTTGGCAGTTCCCTGGGGTAAGAAGCCTCGCCTTTCCAGCTGGATTTACTCTGACTTGCTCAGTGAGGTTCCAGCTCAGTAAAGAGCTTGAGCAAACAGTGTCTCCCCTTTGCCAGTGGGATGTTTGCCTTCAACACCGGTTATACAGAACAGGACTGGAACCCTCAGGCAGGTTATATGTGACTTATAAATCCTTCCTGAATATGAACCCAAGTTTTAAGACACTGAAAAACTTCTGAAACTATTCTGCTGAAACATTCTCTACATAAGACAGATGTTAATCAGCAGGAGCAGCATCAGCATCTGATGCTTTTGCCAAGGTCCGTCTGTGTTTCAGAGGATGGAGTCGAGGATCTGAGAGCTTGGAGATAAACTTGGAAGCTGAGCCCTGCTCCTCTTCCCTGAGGGCCTGTTTGATTAAATTTTCATTTACTTCACCACCTCGCAGACAAACGTGGTTTATTGCAACAACCCACCCAGCCAGTATGAAACATCGACACGCTGGAGGGGCGAGCATCATGCTGGGTGCAGCTGGCAGTGGTTGGAGGGACTGTGGTTGGATGGGACCACAGCTGGGCTGCTGAAGGATTTGGTTTTGAAGGTGCTGAGCACCCAAGCCCCAAACAAAAACATGTCTGCTTAATGTTGAGTGTGGAAATTTTTCCCTGAAATGAAGAAACCAGGGTGGATGAATTACTGAATTGCCAGGCAGGGAAATTCTTCCATTTGCCTGCATGTTTTGGGTCGGGCTGGTCTGGTTCCAGTGACCTCTCCTGCAGCCCCTCTGAGGCTGGCCAGAAACATCACATTGTCCTGTTGACATTGCCTCCAGCACTTGTGCTATCAGCAGTGCTGATTTATTCCAGCCGGGGCTCTGGCCCATGACTTAAAGGGGTAATCCTGTGAAATAATTTATTAGCAGAGTCTCAAAGGACATCAGAAGTTTGTATGTTGAATTTTGGTAGTGGGATGGAAGTCTTTTATTGTGACCAGGATGATTATTAGTGCATTAGAGGACTTGGAGTATGATCATCTGTTCACAGGCATGCTGCCCAAAAAGGCCACCCCAAGGTGGGCATGGTGCTGGGGCACCCCTGCCCCTCGAGGAGCTGTGTCCTGGTGTGGACCAGCTCCCCACTGTAGAACAGGCACGGATGGAGGGTTACCACACCCCAGTGGAGTTGAAGTTGTGTGTCTGTCCTGCCAAAAAACCTGGCTAGCCTTGACCAAGACACTTAGGGCCAGATCTGGGAGTCACCAGGCACTTGGACCCTCCTGCATTAATGGAGTGTGACATTTGGCTCTCCATGCCCTGGGTATCATCTGCGGGACGGCAGGAGAAAGAGCATCTTCTTGACCTTGGGTGCTGTGAAGATGAGTAGCTTTGTGAGGCTCTTGGTGCAGAGAAGGCTGTAGTCATCCAGCAGACTGTGAAATGTCCCCACACACAACCCCTCGTGCTCAGCCCGATTCGGCCAAAGCCCTTCCGCAGTTGTGAACTAGGCATTGGGCAAGCCTTGCTTTGGGGGTGTCCACGTAATGTATCACCAGATGTGTCTATGTTTGCTGTCTAGTTGGCATTATTTATCCAAATTTTGATCTTGCAACTAAATTAATTCATTTTTTTTTAGCAGACTTTTGGCTACCTAAAGGTCTAGTCTGCTCGGGTTTATAATATTTCGTCTGTATGCCCTCAAATGTAAGTCGCTTTTAAAAAAAAGCAATTAAAATGCAGGAAAGCTTTTCACATTTGTCAATGTTTTAAAGCATCTTGCACTTGCCCAGCAAGGCTTCACATGGCCATTGGGGAAGCTCTTGCTAATAAAATTAGTTGCTCACACCCAGGAAAAGTAATATCCAACAGCATCAGATGCCAGGAAATATCTGGCAAAGAGTTTTTGCAGTCCCAAGCAAGCATGTCCATATCTGATCCCCAGCTGACCACTCCTGGGGTCTGTCCAGGAGCCGGCAGTGGGAACAGCACGAGGAAGACACCCTTGATGGAGCCAGGGCCAGGATTACCCACGACCTTAGCTGTCCCCCAGAAGTGTCAGGGGTGCAGGTCCTGTGTCCTCCCACAGCCCACAGCCCACAGGGGAGCATGTTTCCTGGGATTTTCCCTTCATTTCATGCTGTGCCCACCAAGATCACAGACCTGCTCCTGCCAAGCCCTGAGGTGGCTTGTTCCAGCTCCATCCCTACTCACTGGCCAACCTTGGATAATCTCATTTCACGCCTCCATCCCCACATCCCACAAAACAGGGGACACACTGTTTCTGCAGCCGGGCGATGTGCATCAAGACAGGGGTAGAAGATGTTCTTTAGAGGCAAATCATACCTCTGACCTCCCAACAGATAGTGGAATAGCTGAACTTGGTTTGTATTAAGGAGGAAATGCTGTGGGCTGGAAAAGATGCTAAAAGAAAAAAAAAAAAAAACAAAAAAAACAAACCCCAAAAAACCCCACTCAACCCTAAACCCCTAAGTGCTACAGTCTATTATTACATCCAAAGCTTTGCTGCAGATTTTAAGCCTTTAGGGATGGTGAGCACACATGTCCTGCACCAAACACTGCCCTTCATCCCTGGAGGGGCTGTTCCCCCAGACGCACAATAGGATGCATCCAAATAATTACTCCATTGTGTTAATGATGAGTGCTCCAGCCCTGCTGGGGGGGGCTGGCAGAGCTCCCTCCTGGCTTGTTCAGGAAGATGCTTGCAATGGGCCGTGTTGGCTTTGGCTTGCGTAAGCTTTAATCTACACTTGGAGACGTTTTTAGCTGAGCTGTGTTAATGTTAGGTGGAATTAGCATGCATACAGGGAGACCACGTGGCTTCATCTGACCTTCCCCCCACCCCCACCCCCCCCTTTTTTTTTTTTTTTTTTTTCATCATATTAACGGATTCCTGCCAAATCAGAGTGGCTGGTGCCCAGCAGGGCTGGGCTGCGGCCACCAGCAAGATGCCTGCCATCTCTGTCCTTTACAAGGGAGCCATCATCATCATCAGGTAATCCCCCAGGCGGGGCAGGAATTGGGGAGGGGGCAGCCCTGGGGGTCCCGGTGACCACCCCCATGTAGAGAGCCAAGGGTAAGATGCTGAGGCTTCTCCAAGACCAGGGTTTGGTGGTAGAGGTGGCTTGCACGCAGCAGAAAAAGCTGAGGACATCATCACTAGCGCTTGTTGGGTTTCTTGAGTCTCTAGCATTAGTGAAGCTCATTTCTGCTCTGCTGTTTGTGCATCGCATCAGGGATAAAAGTTGATCGTATCAAGTTGGCATCTGCTTTACTGAATGCTCTGTTCTTATGTTGTGTTTCAGCCCGGTTTGAGCTATTTCTGTTTACTTACAGTGGAGTTGCCTCGGCAATTTATTCAAAATACTCTGAAAATCCTGGATGGTAAATTAAACCAGTCTGAGCGCAGGGCTGCTCTGGCTTCCTGGGATGCCTTCAAGCTCTGTTTTCTGACAGCCAGATGTGGTCAGTTGTTTGCCTAGTCTCTTGAATATGTGAAACATTGCAAGAATATAAAGATGGGGTATTTTTAATGAGGAGAAAAAAATTCCAGTCTGAATCTTAGAAGTGGGTGTTACTGGCTTTGCAGAATAGCTTGATATTTTGAGGGATATTTTGGATGCCTGAAGACAGAAGTCCCCAAGATCTACTCCTCTCCTGTGTCTTGCTGGACTCAGAGGAGTCTGTTGTGCTCCACGGTGTTGTCCCTCCTTAGCTGCGTCCAGATTTGGAATACGATATTGATTCAGAAACTTCTTTTCTCTTGCATCTTAAATCCTGGGAACTGTTTTGGGAGCCCCTCACCCCTGGTTTCTCACCTGGCACACCTGGATCTGGGTTTCTCAGCTCAAGGTCCACCCATCCTCATGTCAACCCATTCTCATGGGGGGTGACCACCATGGGCCACCCAAGGAGGAGAAGCACTGCTGGTCCTGGGGTTGGAGTCCAGGTCCCCAGCTAGGGCAGAGCGGAGCTGGACACTTTTGGTGTCATTTATTTGGGATACCCACCTTGCCAGAGGTGTTTAAGGGGAGACTGTGGGGTGGTTGGGAGAGTTACTTGACATGAGGGAAACTCAGGTGTACGATGCTCTTCCATCTACTTTGGCTTGTGAGGAGAAGCTCCCACCCTTGACCTGGTGAGGCAGGGACTTGGAGCGGCTTGGCAGATCTCGCATCCCCCTTTTCCAGACCCTGTGCCAGAGGGATGGAGGCTGCCGGCATTACAAAATCTCAGGGGTGGATTGTGCCCGGCTGTCTTTGTTACAGGCTGGCTGTATTTGTGAAACTGGTTTATTCCTGGAACACTGGTCCAAGCTCTGATCTCATTTCCCAGGAGCTGGGCAGCTGTCCAGACCCGTTAATCGCTGGGTAATGAATCACAGAGAGGTCCATCAGATTTTCTGGGTGGGGAGGATGATGTCCAGCCCCACACATTTTCTCTCATTTATCTGTAGAAACTTCAGGAGGGCAGGAAGACGGTTAATTTTGCCAGTGTGGGCTTAATATGTAAGGCCGTGTCCCTCAACCTTTGTGTCTACAGCATTTCATGGGCAACGCGCAGGGCAGTGGGAAGCGTGTGCTTGTGTACATGTTGGTCGGGCACCTGGGCATCTGTTTATTTTAGTCCGTGAAAGAAAGATGTTTCTCTTTTCTCTCCCAGGACACTCATGGGACCATATGGGTTGCGTCGTACGGTACACTGCTTTGATTTCTACGACTGTGAAAATGGGCTGGGTGAGTACTGTACCTCTGCAAGGGATGTCAGGGTGGGCTGGGGAAGCTCGAACATCCCCCTGCTCCCCAGCACCTGTGTCACGATATGAAGTCTGATATCTCATAGAAACACTGGTACTTGTGCCTGCCTGTGTTGAGCATCTGATAGCACCTTTAGTAGCCGGGAGGTTAAAGTCAAGTCAACATCCCAACCAATTCCCTGTTGATGGTGAGCAGCTGCTGTGCCGTGAGCTGTGCAGGAGCCTGGGGCCAGAGCCCCTCCCCTGATCAGGATTGGGGGTGAAACCAGGCTTTTCAGAATTTTCTAAATTAATTGAATTAATATATTTTTTTTTTTAAAAAAAAGGTTTTAAATGAAAAAATTCTAATAATAAAAAATAAATACAATCCCAAGCATTTCCCAACTGTCTGTCCCTGCCGGCAGGCCCCCTGGGAAGCCACCCCGATGGGTGATGCAGGATATTGCAGGTCTCCTGGGGACCGGGCTGTATAAATTGTTTGTGGAAAGTTTGGCCCACGGGTAAGTATATGAGCACCGAGCGAGTCAGCTGTCCTTCCACAGTGCTCTGAACATCAAAGCACGGATGAGAAAGGAAAAGAGATGGGTCATATCCATCAGAACGTGAGAAAGAGCCACAGGTTCATGAAACTCAGCCTGAAATGATCCAGCATAGCATCTCATCTGACCTCTACATATCCAGCAGCATAAATACCGGCACTCTTCCATGGACTTTATAAAAACCTGTGATCCTGCATCAGGATTTCTTGGGGTCCACCATGCAGTCTCGTCCATAATTTTTAATTGCGAGTGCAGTCCATCATCCCACAGAGCAGCTGTGGGCCCCTTGGAGAGGTCCCTGGGTGACCACTTGGGGACCCCTCCTGAAAAGTCAAACTCACAACAAGTTCAGGTTTCCCGAGACCTGAGATTAATTACAGATTCACTACTGGCTGGTTCCAGCCCTTGGGTAACGGTACTTTCCGCTGTGGAGGAACAGCTTTGCTGACTCTTCCCCTGGTCTTCTGTTCCTGAGGGTCGTGGGAGCTCAGAGAAATGTCTTTGCTCAGTGAATATGATATTTTAATCTCCAGAGGTGGATTTGGTTGAGTTGATGGGATTTTAGCTGTTGGGTTAGATTAGCTCGTTATAGGAGGAGACCCAGAAAAGCCTGTCAAAGCTGTCGCTGACTTCTGGAAGAAGTGCACAGATGTTACAGACCACTGTGAGCCACTTTGCTGGGTCCCGATACTCCTCCCTTCCCCCAGCCTGTGGCCAGAGGGTCCTTGGAGGGTCTTGTAGACTCTCTGCAGGGTCTTGTGATGTGCTGCAGGAAGGTATAACAATGTGGATTTTCTAATCCAATCATCAGCTTTCTTCATTGTCTCTCGTGAGGTTTGAGACTCCCAAGACAAGAGATCATCCTCCAGAAATCCTCTCTCTCTGCTGAGGACCAAGTGGCGCTTGCAGGAGCCCCGTATCTGCCATGGGTGTAGCTGCTCAGAATATGCTTTTTGGGGAAAAAAAAAAAAAAAAAAAAAAAAAAAAGGTGCCTCCATGAGTTTCTTATGTTCAGATGTGGATGTTATTCCAGCAGAGTTTCTTTAGGGCAGCATCAGCCCGGTCAGTGCCAGCGTGGCAGGTCAGCGTTTGGCCCCGGGTCTGTTGCTCTGTGGCTTTAGGTGGAAACCCACATGTGAACCTCAGCAGAAGTTCAAAGGGGTTACCTGGCGGCTCCTAAAACCTGAACTTTGAATTAAAGAATAGCCATCAAAGGGAAGTGCTGATTAAGAGTCACTTCTCAGACACACTGAGATCCCATTATCTTGACCTTCATCTTCTTAAGACAGGGCAGCAAGTGATTCACCCCCAGTCTGTCCCTTCCTCTAGTCAGAACAAGCTGGCAGGGGCTGCCAGGTCAACAGAGAGATGAAGGGAAATATAATTGAACATTGGTAGCTTAGGTGCAAAGCGGGCAGCCTCTCTCCGTGCAGACCACCGGGAGCACGGCACGGTGGCCAGTGGGGTTGGGATGAGCTGGAGATGATTACAGTTGGGCTAAACAACCAGATTAGCCAAAACACGCCTTGACCCATGGTATAGGGTGCCAGGAGCGTGTGAGATGATAGCCCGAGGAGTTAAGAACTGTGACACTGGCATTAGTGGGGTGGGATTAGATGCATCAGAGAAGCTTGAGGGTCTTGGAGAAATTTATAGGATCGCTAAGAATCTAAAGAAAATGCCATCTCAGTCAGTCTAAACTCTATGCCTACCTGGAGTTTCCCCCATAAACATAAATATTTATTCTGCGAAAGAGAAAATACTGGGGACATGGGCATCAGCTCCAGGACCTTTGCCAGAAAGGAGAGATTAAATAGAGGGATCCAAAAAAGGCTAGATTATCTGGCCCTAAGTATGACTTAATAAGTATTATGCCAGGACTTTTATGCTGTGATAATTAAAGAGCCGTTATTTACCTACACTGGATCCCAAATACAAATGTGACTGAAGTAAGTGTTTATAAAATATGAAGACGCCCAGAAATGCTACCACCACGATCTTTGATGATTTGGGTTTGTTGGAATCAGTCCTGGGCTGTCCTATGGCTTGGTCTGAGCCCTGGCAGGAGTGAGCCCTCTCTCCTCCTCCTCTTCCTCTTCGTCTTCCTCCTCGTCCTCGTCCTTCTCCTCCTCCTCCTCCTCCTCCTTCTCCTCCTCCTCCCCACCCTGGCAGGGACTCCCTGGAGCATCTCTCAGGGGGCAGGACTGGAATCCACAGTGTCTCCATGGCAAGGGGATGGGTGGGAGGCAGCATGGGCAGAGCCTGGCAGCACTCATCTGGTTTGTTAACAAGGGAGCTAAAAGTCAGTTTTTTTTCCTGCCCCCCCCCATCAAAGTTTGAGTGTGTCTGGAAACAATACTGTGAGTAATCACCGATTTTAATAACAAGATTGGATTTTCTCCTGACATTGTTGGGGATAAAGGAGGATTTGGAGATACTTCAGCTATATTAAGACATTATTACAATTGATTTGTGGACACAAAAGGGAAATGAGTCATTGCTGATTTGATACCTCGGCAGAGGAACCCCTCAGAATCAGGCCCCGTTGGGCTGCTGGGCCATGCTGCCTCTTCTGAGATGCAGATTTTTACGTGATTTGCCTAATGCATTTTATAATTCCTAATTACTTCATGTTCCGATGTGAAGATGTAAGATGACTTCTTGAGTTATCACCTTGGTTTAAGCTGGATTTCCAGTGTCTTCCCTGTCCAGGGGAACCGATGCGGGACCTCCCCCATTCCAGGGGTTTCCCAAACCCATCCTAAGTGTGATCCTGTTCCCCAGGGTCTCTCTGCTAGATGGTGGCAAGCCCACCAGCAGCCACCCCAGCCCAGCTGGGAGCCAAGAAGCTTTTCAACTGAGCATCCTCAGTGATGAGCTGGTTTTACCTTGTCACTGGGGTTTGGGGCTGCAGCATCTCTGTCCTGATTTTGTCTACAGGTGCCTGACCTGTCCCCATGCCTTGGTGAGGCTTGTGCTGCTCAGAGATCCCTCTTTTGGGCAATATTTCAGATTTTAGTGTATTTCTTTAAAAATACAGTGGAGAACAACGTTGGTGCCTGTTCCTGGGGCATTCTGCTGTGAGTTCCCAGTGCCACCAGTAAAACAGCTCCTCACAGACGCCTGGGGGTTGTATGGTTAATGCATTAAGCCCAGGGAATGAACTCCCGCACTCAGACAGGGCTGGGGGTTTGTGCTTGGGAGAAGCAGCAATTGGAATGAAATGAAAAATTGTAATAATCTGGTTTTAATCACAGTTTTGATGTAAAGGTGACTTGAGAGACAAGGTCTTTCCCAAGAGGTAGCTGAAAACTGCGAGAGTCCTTAGAGCAGAACTTGGGTTATAAAAGGAAGGGGACTAGGGATGGAAATAACACCATTGTCCCAAGTAATCCTGATCCGGGGTCCACTCCTCTTCCTCCCTGCTTGCTTCAAAAAAGGATCTTGTGTTTTGGGGAAGAAGCTGTGCCTGGGGTTCTTGCCTGAGGTCACTGTGCACCCCAGGACCTCACCAAGGCTCAGGCAGTTCCTTACCTCGGGGCAGCAGCCAGAGGATGAAGCTGGCTTGACACTGGCAGTGCCCCTCTCTGTGGTGATCCCCTCCTCCGCATGCCCTCCCGTCCAGAGCGGCAAAATGCCTGACCAGTGGCTCTCAGGAGAGATTTCTTAATTAGAGCCAGGCTTTTTCATCCTTCTGTCCATAGCCTGGATCTTTGAAGCAGGACTTACTGAGCCCTGGACAAATAAGTCTCTTGAGCCTTTGCCTGCCAGCCAGCTTATGCACGAGAGGTGGCCATGCAGAGCACAAACCCTTTGCCAAGGTGCTACAGGACATCCAAGCCAAGCTGCTGCAATGGGGGGTTCCAGGGCCACACCAAAGGGCATCTCTGCACCCTGGCTCCTGCCTCTGGGCCGCAAGTCCTGGATCCAAACACTGACAAAATGTGTCTTCTGATGTGTAGCTCTGCCCTTGGGGGCAGCTTCAAAGGCTGCGGTGGAGCTGCTGCTGGAGCCTGGCAGGCAGGCGAGCTTGCAGCGAGGCTGTTCTCATCACTGTATTGAACTTGGGGCTTGTCCAGGTGCTGCACCTTGAAGGGGGTCTCCTGGAGGAAACGTCTGCCCCAGGAATGTTTCCTGTGACAAGTATTATGAGAGACATGGGCACAGGCTGAGGCACCCACAGCAGTAGCAGAATCTTTCCCATCGGCGATGACCTTGGACCTGTTGGAGCAGGTTCAGAGTAGGCCACAAAAATGATCAGAGTGATGGACCACCTCTCCTGTGAGGACAAGCTAAGAGAGCTGGGGGTGTTCAGCCTGGAGAAGAGAAGGCTCCAGAGGGACCTTATTGCAGACTTTCAGTCCTTAAAGGGGGGCTTGTAAGAAAGACGGGGACAAACATTTTAGCAGGGCCCATTGTGATAGTTTAAAACCATCACCCCTTGCCCTAAAAGAAGGTAGATTTAGACTAGATGTAAGGAAGAAATTTCTTACAATGAAGGTGGTGAGACACTGGCCCAGGTTGCCCAGAGAGACGGTAGATGGCCCAACCCTGGAAACATCCAAGGCCAGGTTGGATGGGGCTTGGAGCAACCTGAGCCGGTTGAAGATGTCCCTGCCCATTGCAGGGGGGGTTGGACTAGATGACCTTTAAAGGTCCTTTCCAACCCAAACTCTTCTATGATTCTATGAACTTGGGGTTGGGGAAGGTGGTCGCCCTTTGTCTATGGCTGTTTTGGGAGCTTTGTCTCGGTAGCTGTTGCTCTGAGCAGGTGCTATCAGGTGCCTTTAGCTTTTGGGTTGTGTTAGAGGACGAATCCTGTTGCTTCTACTGCTGCTGGTGTAGTGTAGGGATACACGGGTCTTTCCACAAATGATTTTTAAAAGGGGTGTCAGGCAGTGCCGGGGTGCCTGGGAGTGGTACCCAAGGCTGCATCCCTCCAACACAGCGTGTGGGAACTGAAATTCTCCTGCCTTTGTGTCATGGGCACTTTTTTTCCTCCAGGTATTAAGGTAATTGGTGGCATCAAGGAACTCACTGGAGAAGAATATGGAGTTTATGTCAAGAGGATCCTTCCAGGGGGTGTTGCTTATGCAGATGGTGAGTTAAACGTGATGCAGAGCACCACAAAGTCTGAGAAAAGCTGACATCCAGGGTGTTTATTTTATATGTTGCCTTATCAGATATTTTAGGTGCTTCTTCCCAGATTTTCCAGCAGTGGGAGGTATTTTTTTACTGTATCAACCGTTGTAACATCCAACAGCAGCCTTGTCTTGGCTTCTACAGCACAAACATGATTGCTTCATGTCTTTAAACCAAGATCCACCTCTGCCACGCAAAGAACTTCACTTTGCTGCTTGTGCTTTTCCCTGTGCTACTGACTGCCTGTAGCCCCAAAATGACTGGAGATCCCTTTGCAAATTCAGCTCTGCTCTAGGCCACTGGTTTCATTCCAAGTGTCGTCAGATAAGGAGATACTAGGCAGATCTGCAGACGTCACTTTTCATAACTTAAGCCAGAAAGATTTTTATTTTTTTCTTTTTAATTTACATAATTTTTCCATCTAGTGAAGAAAAATACATCTAGAACAGGTGGAAGTGTCACTCATCGTTTTCTATCTGACCTCAAACTGAATTAAGTAAAAGCTTTATTGCATTTTTTGGTATTTACTCTCATAAGTTCCTACAGAAGAGGAAGTTCTGCTGTTCAGGGAGGTTGTTCAGAAACTTCATCTGTGGATGCCTTGAAAAACAGGTTGGATGAGCATCTCAGAATGACCTATGCATATTTCATCCTGTCTTTGGGCAAAGGGAAGAATTCCCCAACCTCTCCCAGTCCCTTCAAGCTGTATTTTCTACAGTTTCTATCCATTAGTTTTCTTTTCTAGGGCGCCTGCAGCCAGGAGACCAGATCCTAGAGGTCAATGGAGATTCTCTAATTGGGGTCGCAAGAGAGAGGTACCATATCCAAATGGAAATTTTAGATTCCTGTTGCTTTTTGTATAATTCTGTGAAGTGGTTTAGGCTGCGGGTTGCACAGAGGACATCAGGGCATCGCTTTGTCTGCGCTCTGATGTAGCCAGCGCTGTCCCTGAGAGCCAACTTGGGAATTATCAGCTGAAAAGTTTCTATATAAAAATAGACAAGAGAACCCAAACTGGATTTGTGAGATATGCAGACATTTCCCCAAAATGTTGTTTTTCAACAGCTCCTGGCACCCCCACTCCATCTGCTGCAGCTTCCCAGAAAGCCCCGCCGCTCCCAGTGCCGGAGATTAGCCAGTGCCTAAGCCCGACAGCACTGCTCTGCGTGGGGGATTCCCTCCCGAGCTGCCATCCAGCCCCTCAGCTCCCTGCCAAGAAAATAATTAACCGATCCAGAGGTGTACTGCAATTTGGGGACACTCCTTTTCCTTTAAACGTAGTGCTAGCCTGCTGCTGCCTTGCACTTCTGCGTGGTGTGCTTAGGCTGGATGGATGCTTGGGAAGCAGCACGAGGAGTTTTTCCTGCTCCTGAGCCCCCAGAGCGGCTGGGTTTGGTGAAGGAGATCCCCAAGGACATATCTGCAGCTGCAGGGAGGCTGTGGCTGGCCCCCAGCACACTGCCCTGACTCCCACGGGGCCGTCTGTATTTTGAGCTAGAAAGCAGCCATCCCTGAGATGGAAACTTCCCGAGGGAGGTGATGTGCTGGGAGGTATTTGCTCACCACCGCATGCATCTTCTGGGTGTGTTTTGTTATGGGGGACTCCTAATTTATTGCAGAAGTGGGAAAATCAGGCTGCGACTGGGTTGCCCTCTGGCCCCGCTGCCAGGGCAGGGAACAGGGGGTGTCCCACAGGCATCCAGCTGATTGAGGTCACTTGGCTGCTGACGGGGTTTGCTCAGGCCATGGGTCTCTGCCCAGTCTGCCGTGAGCTTTGATTCGTGGCTGGGCGAGCTTGGTGGAGCACCGCCGCGAGCCAACGTTGACCTGCTGTGGCCCTTGTCTCGCAGGGCTGTGGACATCCTGAGGACGGCATCGGCCACCAGCCACATGCACCTTCTTATAGCCCGCGATGATGACGCCAGGTAAGGGGTGTCATTTCGCACCGGGAAGGGGGATTGCGGCACTTGTCGGTGCCGCAGCTGGACTGCCTTTGAGCTAACTCAAAGCCCATGGTGAAGATGGAGGTGGCCAAGGGTCTTTGATAACCGTGCAATGGTGGGAACGCGCTGGAGCTGTGATGGGAAGAGAAGCAAAGCTGGTGGCTCCCAGTTGCAGAACTGGCTCCAGTCCAGACTGTTCTGGGTCTCTGGGGCACCCTGGCATCGAGCAGATTTCCACAGGTGTCTCCCCAGCAAGGGTCAGGGCAGCTTCAGCCTCGGCTGTAGGGTGGCATGGGCTCCTTCAGTCCTGCTGTGTGATGCTGAGCTGCCTGTGGCTTATCACATCCTGCACAGAGCTTTGGTTGAAGATGCACAGGGACAGAAGGATCTTCCCTTTACTTTCCAGTTAGATACATTGAGTTAAGGTCCTCCTTCCCCGGAGGATTCCTCCTTCTCAGGGTGGATGAGCAGTTTCTCCCCAAAACCTCTCCCCTCGCTGCTCCATGGAAATCCTTGCTTTCTCTAGAGTGGCTTGGAGGATTCAAAAGGAGAAGGGGAGAGTTCAGTTTAGCCTTGGCTGGATTTAAGCTGTGTGTGACAATGATGGTGTCATGAGGGAAGGCAGGGTTGTGGAAACCCAGGTGTGGGATTAGTGGGGTCATCGCTTTCATCCCCTGGGAGATCTGACGCAGTGTGCTGGAGCATCCCCTCCCTTGAATAGAAACACAGGTCTGGAAACTTGAGGTGCACCAGGAACCACCAAAACAAGAGTGGGTTTAGGCAGAGTGCGGCTGTGGGCAGGCGGGCTGGTGGCGCCGAGGCTTTGCACTGTGTGTGGCTGGACGAAGATCACAGAGTTGTTTGCTCAAAGTACCCGCAACCCGCTAGCGTCAGAGATGATGGTTTAATTCCTTATCCATCAGCAGCGTTAGCAGACCAGTGAGAGTGCTGTAATGACAGGGATGAGACCAATTTTGACACAGTAATATATTGGTGGAAGAATTATTTGCTATTAATGGCTGACTGCTTTTTACCTACACTCTTCCGGTGAAAATAACATCTCAAATTATTATATTAACTGCAAATCCTTCAGCAGCTGCTGAGGAAGCACTGAGTGAAGTGAGCAAGTCACCAGAACTAGACTCTTGTGGTCCAAGCAAGGGTGCACAAGATGCACTTGAGTGCCACAGCAGTCCTCTGCGCTTGCCTTTGGGGGGGGGAAGCAGCAGTGGGCATCTCACACCGTCCCCTCTGGGTGGCTGTTGCTGGGGCTGGTCCCAGCAGGAGGGATGGGTTCCCACAGCTGAGCGGCTCCCTGCACCCAGCAGCAGCAGGACTTGCTCAGGGAAACACTTTATTTCTCAGCCAGACCCCCCAGAGCAGGTTTTCTGCCTTCACCCATCCTGACCTGTCCTGAGCTGTTCAAGCGTCTCGATGCGCCTTCTAATATCTTAAATTGCAGCAGATGTTTCCTAAAACATACGTACACGTGGCTTTGTCGGCAGCTCCAGCTCCTTTGTGCATCCGCCTGCAGTCCCCGCTCGCCCTGCGAAGGAGCTGCCCGAAAACCGACGGAGGGAGACTGGGAGGGCAACAAAACTTTCAGCAATTTATTTGGCCTTTATCTGTTAAATCCGCAAAAGGTTAGCCGGTGAGAGAGTGGGGAAGTAATCAGTTTACTTGTTTTTTTTTAAAAAAAAAGATTTGCAGAGATTTCAGTTACATAATCATCTCACTGTTTAATACATATATCCAGGATTAAGGGCTGTGGAAACGGGGGAAGGACTTCTCTGCTTTCTGCTTTTTTTTTGTCCTTAGTTTTGTCTTCATTTTATTGACGCCCTATTATTTTTTTAAGTCTGTCCTTGAGCATGGGTGAGCAGACAGCTCTCTGTCTGTCTTGAAACGGGCTCTCTGACTTCCCAGGGACTGTCAGCTCTGGAGGCGAAAGCCACAGAGATGCTGCGCCGTGAAGTCCCATGAGTTGAGGGCAGCCTTGCACCTTCCCACTGCCCAGCAAAGTGGTTCACGAGACATGAAAGTGGAAGGAAGACGCAGGAAGGAGTGTAATTCAGTGTATCTGCAGATACTCGCATGCAGGTTGTCTTCATAAACCCGGAGCACGCTGGAGGAGGAAGCGTAATGGCTCTGGGCTTGGAAGATGATCCAACCCACCTGCCAATTTTCCCAATGACTCAGCTGAGTAGCATTTTGTTGTGGTTGCCCTCAGGTGAATTTGACTCATAAATGCTATTATTTGTCCCTGGAGTTAATTATAGGCCCAAATTACCTGTGCTCTTAATGGAACTCCGTCCTGGCATGTATAAGATGCATGTTTTCAGCCTGTCACATCAGACATGCTGCAGAGAGCAGCAGTAATGCTAGGGCTTAAAGCAGAAAATTCAGATTTGGAGCTGGACATGCTGGGTTTGGATGATGGTTGGATCTGATTTTCGTCTGTGCTCATCTTTAGCTAATGAGGATCATTTTATTGCATACACATAATTATTGTTTATTCATTCTCAGCCTCAAAGTTACAATAGTTCCTTGTTTCTCTGCGTTGCACAGATATCATCCTGGTCTTTCAGGTTTATCACTGTGAGAAAGCCAGTTTGTGCTGCACCTCCTAGTACTCATATGATAAAATGCTAAATACCTTGCATCTCCGCATGACATACAGTCATCTTGGTGAAAATGCATTGTATGAATACTTGCACAACAAGCAGTAAGGAAAGGAGTCTGCTTTTCTGGAAGTGCACAACCGATATCCAGGAAGGAGCAGAGAGGCTGTTGCTGGAGCTCACACCCAGCCTGGTGCGAATGCAAGGTAATAATCCCTTTTTTCCTGCCAGCCTCGCGTGTGACAGCAGCGGCTAAGCCCACAGGTTGGTTTGTGTGAGCACTTGGTGTAAAACTGGAAGGCAGTGCTGGGCCTGATTCTGGCAAGCCTGGGGTGTCCCAGGGCCATTGGCTGCTCTTTGGGGAAAAACACTCACCCTTTCCCACAGAAGCCGAGATGCCCCCGTGCGTGTCACCGCTTCCCAGGCATTGATGGAAAAGCAAAACCCAGCAGCGGTGCGATGCTCTGCCCTGCACAGCCAGTGCAGGAGGGCTCACAGCTCGGGGCACGCCAGCTCTGCGCAGCCCTGGCTCCGGCAGGTCTGTGCCGGGATGGATTTGGGCTCCGTGCTGGATCTGCTGCTCCGGAGCATCATCCCACCCTGACAGAGCTGGAAATGCTGCAGCTGCCGCCAGCTGGGCACGAGAAACATCTGCTTTTGTGATGCTTTTGCAGTGCTTTGGGTTCGCAGTTCCCACTGACCTGCAGGCTTTGGGTTTTTTGAGACAAGCTATTAATTTATCTGGTGTCACAAGCTCCTCTTTTCCCCCGAAGCTGTGGTGCAGAGCTGAGGTCTCCAGACGCTGTGCTCTCACGTAACCTTTGATGTACGATTCACCTTTTGCTCTCCCAAGAGCAAAAGGGCAGGACAAAAAGGTATTATGAGATAAACCAACAATATTCTGCAGGAAGATTGACCCCCCTCTGCTTAATCTGTAGCAAAGTCTGCCAGCAGCTGGCTGCTGCTGGCAAACCCCTTTATCCTGCTCCCTGCTGTAGGGCTGACTGAAGGCCGTGCGGGTCCGAGCTGTTACAGGGATCCTCCAGAGCTCAAATGTCTGAGTCTTAATGAAAAATAGCCAGAGAAAGGATTCTTAAAATGAACTTTCCATCTAATACAACCCCATGATTTTTTGAGGGGGGCATTTTAGTCCTGCAGGCACCTGCCAATTCAGAATGTCTTAGTAAGGGTCAGATTTTAAATAGTAAAGACATCTTCTGAAGTCTCTTGGTGCCCGAAAGCACAAAGTAAGACCTGTTGGCATTCCTTCAGCGTACTTGCTCATCAGCTGGCAATGTTTGGGCATAGTCTACCCGCTTGCAAATTCCTTCAAATACAGCACTGAGCACAAAATTAATTCTCAGGAGATTAACACCAGAAAGTGTATTGCTTGCTGCTGGGATAAGCGTGTGCTTCAAGTTAGTCATGCGTTTATGTCCTTGGTGGAACTGGGGCTTGCAGTATTGACCAACAAAGCAGGAGCCGGGACAGGGGCGCGTGATGTAGCATTTAGTCACATCGTCCCTACAGCAAACAACTGGGCTGGACCCGGGCTTGGAAAGAAACCCTGGGTTTGGAGCTCGTTGTTCAGGCTCCTGAGCAAATAATGATAAATGCTTCTTTGTGGATGAACTTAACGACATGAAATAAACAACAACAAAGAATGCTCAAGTCATACCTGCCCTTGCTTATAACAGAGTTTGACAGCATGGATTGGGGATTGGGTTTGCATTGTTTAGCAGAGTTTAAAGAGCATAAGAGCTGCCAGACTTGTTGCATTTGCATTGACTAAGAGTTTTTTAGCCATTGTTTTAAGTTCAGAACCTGTTCCGTGCTCTGATGGATTATTATCTGAGGAAAATGTAACAATAGATGACCACAGAAACACCCAGCCCAAAACAAAAACCCAGCTGCTAATGGCTTGGTAACCACTGGAAATAACATGTGTTAGGCCTGCCATTGCAATAGGTCATGGAGGGGTAAGGCCATCTGTGCATGAGTTACCAATGAAAAGGGAGTGTGAATCACCTATGGAAATACAGAGGCTTTACTGGAAAGTTGGAAAAATTCTGCTAAGGTAAGAGCCATCCAAGGCTTAACCCAGGGAACTACAGAACTGTCCTACTGCTATAGGATCAAAGTTGACCTTCCACTTTCTCAGTGCTTTTACACATATTTCAGTGTCTGATGCTATGAAGCTGCCTAACAGTTTTGTGGAAGGTGGGGTTTCTGAACAAAGTAGTTGTTTTTTTTTAAAGGTTGTGGGTTTAGCTGATAAAGACAATAGTGTTGATGCAAAGTATTGGGATTCACCAAGGCATTCCACTAAGTATTGTGCGACACTTGGATTTAAAATCAGCATTAAATGGAATGAATAAGGCATACATTTGATGGCAATATTAGATAAGGCAGGCACTTGTCTTTGAAGTTTGATAATGAGCTGGTTTTCAATGGGGAGATGTAAATTACTGAGAGCATTTCCAGCAGGAACCTGAGGAACTGATGATTCATTCATCATTTAATATTGTTGACTCTAATCTAGCCAATAATATGTAACATCTGTCCCAGTAAAGTACGCAGATGACACAACGTCTGCTTGTGTGTAAAAGGAGTCTCCTCACCGAGGAAACTTTGCTGTGGCTGGTTTCCTACAATTTATGTCTTGAGCTTGTCTGACTGCTAAGTGTGAGAGCTAGCCACTCATAACCAGGCTTTTCCTGTGGCTATAGCATCAAGAAGGCACCTTCCCATGGGGATTCCCTCATGCCTTCAAAGCGGGCATCTAATGTTACTGTGGCCACAGACACAATACTTTCAAGGTCTCTCCCCTTTGCCTGGCTGCTTATTTAATGACACCTATAAGAAATTAGTCATCCTTGAGGCTCTTCGCTCTGCCAAAAGGTTGGATTGATCAGGTAGTGTTTGGGCTATGAAGGTAGAGGACCACACAGTCGCAGAGGGACAGAATGCTCCTGGGAGCAAAGAGCTGATGTGGCAGGGATGGGCAACATGGCCCATCAACATGCTTCAACATAGCACCCCCTTTCCATGCCTCTCCATCTGAAAGGATGAGAGAGGCTTATGACAGCTCAAAGAAGGATTGCCAAAATGATGCAGGAGCTGTTAAACATGGTTAATGGTGGTTCTTAATGGGGTTTAAAAACTCAGCATGTTACACTTGGCAAATGGAAGCTCATCAAGGGCTAAACACACTTGAGTAGTTATATGGTGGTCACACTCAGCCTGGAAGGAAAACATTAATGAAGGCACTTGGGCACCCAACCAGCTTTCCAGGGCATGTTGTGGATGGGATTGTTTTGCAGAGAGGTAATTAATGAAGCAGGGGGATATGCCTCAAGACAGAAGGATCATGCTAGATGTTTGTGGGCTGCCATTCCTCCCTGCTCTTGAGTTCACCGACAAGCTCTTCTGATCTTGATATCTTAGCGTGTGCCTGGCAGTCCAGCATCTTCAGCCAGGAGCTGCTGGGAAGAGTGCAGAAGCCTGTGCTGTCCCAGCACGCGTTATGCGTGAAGGTCTTCATTAAGGTCTTATGCTCCAGGAGTTTATCCTGTGATGTTCGTGGAGGATATCAGCATAGATAGATTCAGTGGGATGCCTCTTTTGCATGTGCTCCAGAAGCCATCTCCCATCTTTACCCCAGCAAAAGCTAGCAGAAAATGCTTTCTGTTTAGGAAAGGAGGAAAAAAAAAAAAAAAAAAACAGAAAATAATCTACATTTAACTATTCTGGAAGTAGTCACAAATAGGCTAAGCTTTTTTTTTTTTTTTTAATGTTTGCATAGTTACAGCTCTTTCTGACAGCCTGTATGTGTGGTGTGTTAGGAAAACTTCTGAGTCTTACAGCTGGGGGTGAAATTATTCCTGGGAGGGCCCATGTGGTGGGGAGCAAGGCAGCGGGGCAAGGCAGGGCTCCTGCATTCATCTGCCCTCTCTGAGGAAGGACAGTCCCCCTCACCAGTGCCTGTCCAAATGTCCCTTCCCAGCTCCTGAACACTTTCCAGGGCAGGGAAGGAGCTCACCGAAGCTTCAGACCACTGCAGCAAAGCTGCACTGCCATGAGATTGATTATTGACCTTAAGTCTTGCACAGCCTCTTGAAATCAGAGGTTATACCCTTATGCATGAGAAAGCTCCTTCTGCTCCCTGCTGCTGGAGGGAATTGGCTCTGTAGACTTGGTAGTAAATCACTGCCATCAGAGGCACCAGTGTCATACAATCAGGTGGGAAAGAGTTTTGAGCAGCAGCTGATTATACCATGTTTTTTCCTTCCAGGAGAGAGTTCTGTGAGCTGCTGGAAAAGTACAGCTCCCAGAGCAACACGGGCTCAGCACGGAGCTCACCAATCCAGCACAGTGGCAGTGAGTAGCTCAGCATGCCTTTGGTGGGGAAACCAAAAGCCCCTCTCCACTGCGAATGTTTTCTTTATCCCCATGTTATTTTGAAGGAGTTCTGATTTCATTTGTGTAGGTGTTTGGGTGGAGGTCTGGAGGAAGAGAAGTCCTGCTCGTCCTTGTTGCAAGCAGTTAGTGTGCCCCTGGGTGCAGAGCAGCAAGGCATGGCCAGTCCTGCCTGCACCGAGCAAGCACAAAGCCAGGCAGAGAGCACAAAGCCAGGCAGCGAGCCAGCCTCCTCCTCAGAACTAGGGAGAATTGAGTTGGGATCGTAGCCGCTTCCCAGATGCCCAGAATTTGCTTAACTGACGTGCTGGGCAGGTAATCCCAGCAATATTCATCTCTGTAGGTGCAACTATCTACGATGGAATTCAAAGCATTTCAGCAATCATTCGTTCAATCATCATTATTTTTCATTTGCAAATGGGAAATGTTTAAGGAGATGCAACAAGGTTAACCTAAGCAAGGTGCCAGCCCATTAAATCATGTGTGCATGGGGAAAGAAGGTGTCCCTATGGCCTGGAATCCCACCAGAAGGCTGACAACCCTTCCCCTATGGGAGAGGTATGTAGGGCTGGAAGAGGGGTGACAGTTCCATGCTGGAAACACGCCGAGGAGGCAGAATGTTTCCTCTCCATGAGCGATATACTTCTGTCTTTAACTACCATGTGGTTTTCCCCCCAAAGCTAGGAAAACAGTGTCAGTTCTTAGTGGTAGAGAAGGGGAGGAGGGTGATACTGGAGTATTTGCATTCCCTGGACTGACTCTGACTTTGCTGTTCAGGACGGTACCTGGAAAGTACATCCTCAGGCTCCTCCCCATGTTCTCAGAGCCCGCTGCTGCTGAGCCCCGCCGATTCCCACGGCCCCTTCATTGGGAACCCGGCACGTCCCCTTCATGCGCAGTACGTACGGGTCGCACGGGGCTGGCCCCACAAAGCCTCTCGCTTGGTCAGTCATGAAGATATCACCGAATGTCTGCCACTGTCTTAGGGGCAGATCCAGGAAATAATTCTAGTGCTTGAAAAACTGCTTTGCTGACCCTTATGCCCTTATACTGTTATATCACCATGGTGGCTAGACCACAGCATCTTCTGGAAGTCCTTGTCGTGGTGACATCTTGACTGTTCCCGGGAAGCCTGTGCCCAAGAGCTGAAAAGCTTCCCTGTTGAGGCAGTCAATATGTCTGCAATATGATTAACCATGCAACTGCTCCTCTTCCTCCCCTCTGAAACCCAGGGAGGAGCTGTGGCGTGCAGCCAGCTGAGAGGACCCTGCACGTCACCTTTAGAAATCACGCCATGAGTGGAGTGTTTCTGCAGTGCCAGTGGTGTTTCAGGAGCTTGTTTTCTATTGCCCTGCTTCTGGCACGTTGACATCGTGCAACAAGAGCATAAGCACTTCCCTCTCAGTGCAAACACTCCTGACGCCCTTTGCTTTGGTGTCAACAGTGGTTGCCTACAGACACCGCATCCTTTTGTCTCCAGAACATCTCCCGGAGCATGTGTTTTCATGTGGTCATCTGTCCCTTTCATATTTCACAGGGTCAGAAGTTTGGACAGGCAGAGCTTGTTTTTCTGTGGAGTCTCGACTCCAGGGTGCTCGGGGTTTCCCTTCTCAAGAGGGACAGCTTGAAAGGTGTTAACAGTCATGGAATTGGGACCATTCGTCCCCAGGACTTGCAGCTTCCCTTTCTTTGCCAGCATAAATAAGCCAAGCTGCTGGTAAAGAGAATCAGACCTCACTTGCAGAACCAGTAAATCCTCTTGCTAAATACCAGTTCTTTATGAGGGATCTGCAGAGGCCAAATATTTGGCACCAGATGTTTAAGTTGTTTGCTTTGAGCGAGAGACCCTTGCAGAGGGGAGGCCAGCTCATCTACTTGGCAGCTGTTTTGGACAAGCTAGACATCCTTGCTTTGCTGTTAACCTGCTCCAGGCTGTGATAGAGGCTAGAGGGGACCTCGGTTTGGTGGCCTCCTCGCTCAGCGCTGCCATGCTGTGCCATGTTCTGCTTGTCTCCATGCCGGTGCCAGGCCCCAGTGGTCTTCTCCTGGGAAGTTTGAGCCGTTTGAAATCACGAGCTGTTTGAAATCACGGACCACTGTTCGCAGCTGAGCGTTGGTGGTCAGCTGCAGAGATGTAATTTTGGCCACTGGTCTTTTAATGCATGTGGCTGCCACCCATTCTGCTCCCCGCGGGTTGTCCCCAGGTTGTGGCCTCTCATCGTGGTGTGATCTGAGGTTCTGCCATCCCACTGAGCAACGGGACTTAGATATGATTCAGTCTCACCACAGACAGTGTCTGATATTTTGATTTGCATGGAGGGGTTTAATGCTACATTTTGTGGCATCGTTTTCCTGAAATATTTCTTAGAGCAATGTTTTTTCATAAGAATAAGGTGCGTGCTGCATGAATGCTGTCCCTTTCCCCTCTCCCGGGGGTCCACTGCTGGTTTGGAGGGTGCTGGCAGCACGCTGGTCTGTCACTGGGGTGTGTGACCACTGAGGATGGCATCACTGGGGAGCACAGGGTGGTTATGCACCAGTGTGACTGTGAGATACGGGATGCACAGCTGTCATTGCATCTTAAGTTATCAGGTAACACAAGGAGGACCAGAAACTGCAGACCATTTGGTGAGTGGCTGCTATGGAAATAAATGGAAGAGGAGGAAAGCCAGCTGCACCCAGCCCATCAGGAGGAAAAGGCTTCCTGACCCTCGGATCCCACCAAATCCTTCCCCAAACCCTCCCCGTTGCAATGCTGCCCACTGGCCCATGGGTGGTCAGTGAAATCTCTGCTCCCACAGACACTTTCTGCAATTGCTAAGCCTCCCTCCTGGCACAGAGCTGTCTGCTGTGGCCTGATCTTGGTGGCCTGTTGGGTCCTGTCTAGCTGTCGTGATTTAAGCCCAGCTGGCAACTAAGCATCATGTGGCCACTTGCTCACTCTGTCCCCCACAGTGGGATGGGGAGGAGAATCGGAAGAAAATGGTAAAAACTCACGGGTTGAGATAAGAACAGTTTAACAGGGAAACACAGGGAGAAAAATAATAATGATAATAATAACAATAATGATGATGATTATGATGATGATAATAATAATAATAATAATAATAATAATAACAATAATAATAACAATAATAATAACAATAATAATACTAATAATTTAAAAAGCAAGTGATGCACAATGCAGTTGCTCACCACCTGGAACCTGATGCCCAGCCCGTTCCCAAGCCACGATCCCTCCTCTCCCCTGGCCAGCTCCCCCAATATATATATGAGCATGATGTCATATGGTATGGAATATCCCCTTGGCTAGCACAGGTAACTGTCCTGGCTATGTCCCCTCACAGCTTCTTGTGAAAAGCAACTCTACCCAGGACACTAGCAGGCAGCTCTCTGAGGTTAGGGTCCAACTTTATTGCTGCTCCATTTGCAGTACATCCTTGACTCAGCAAGTCATCTGTTCCACTGCCACAGAAATAAATCACAGGGTGGTGGGTATTGCTGTAAAGGTGCTTAAGGGCTCATTTCTTAGAGTATCTTGCAAGATTTTGACTCTAAACCTCAGTTAAGACATAGTCAGATGTGTATCCTGAGCTCCACTTTGACATTTGTGAAGTGCTTCTTAATAGTTGGTCAGTCTGTGAATTGCTGTCTGGTGATTTAGCTGGGTTCAAACAATAATCACATTGATCCTTTGTGTGTTTTTGGCTATAAAAATCAAGAGTGCCAAATATATACTGGTTAAACCATTAGTTTCTTCTCTATTTTCTAAATGCAAATGAGTATTCCCCAGCATTTAGGATTGTACAAGCCAGTCACCTTCATAATGCTGAGAAATGGGATTCTTCGCCTCTTCTTTCCAAGGTTGGGTGGAAGAAAAGATGCAGAGGCAGAAAAGGTTGGAAGAAGTTAGAAGGATCATGAATGGCAAGAAAACCAGGCAGAGTTTGTTCAGCGACATGGGAAAATAAACCAGATCGCCTTGAGTCACCTGCTAACATCTCTCCCTTGCAGCTACTCCATTGAATCAGGAATCCAGAGCATTTCTATAGCAAAATCCTCCGGCTTAGGGCTGACAATCTGTGGTGGATCTAACAGGCCTGATGGCCCCATGATTTATGTTCAGGAGCTTATGCCAGATGGTGACTGTTACAAGGTAAGCCGGTGTGGAGACCCTCAGTGACTTTGCAATGGGGACCTCTCCTAGAGGCTGTAGCTGTTCTGAAACAGCTTTTCTAAGAATAGAAGAACAATGCATTGCATGGACTAATGAGGATTTGTGTTGCAGGAAAAGGCTTTGGGCAGAGAGACATTCCTTGCCAATGCTATGACTTTCTCCCTCTTTGTTTAGGATGGTCGTCTCCAACCCGGTGACCAGCTAATCGCTATCAATAAAGATTCTTTGGTGGGAAGCACACATGAAGAGGCCAGAAAAATAATTTCAAAAGCCAAATTGAGGTAGGCATATAACATTTTCCATTATCATCATCATGGTGCTGTTGGGTCTTAGGCAGAAACCTTTCAAGTCATGCCAATGTTTGGCTTCAAGAAGCATAAGGCTTATTAGTCCTAAATAATGATTCAAGATGGTCCTGATAAGGAAATCTTGAATGCACTGATCATCCTGAAGTGTAATCCAGATCTTCCCAATGTTCAGGTCCTCATGAATATCCCCTAGCCCTACCCAGTAGAGTTCTGCAACAGAATTGAAGTTCAAAAAAGCAACATAGCTGGTGGAGGTCCATCTACATTGGTGCAGGCTACCTGGACTTAAGTGAGATTATCCTGGAGAAAGAACCACAAGCATGGAAGTTCTGTAAATTTGTGCTTTTTTTTTTTTTTTTTTTAGCTAATAAAATGTTCTGTATTTGTTGCTTGTTTAAGACATGAGGGAAACACAGAAGTGGCCTTTATTCCTGGAAGGGGACGGTTACATCCTGGACTGTCAGTTCATAACAACATCCCAGCACCACCTCCAAAGGCTGTGGGAAACGGCCTGAATTCCTGCAGACTGAGGGTCCACGTGAGGTCCCCAGAGGTAGGTTGAAGTTCATATCTAAGACCGCAGACATTGATCCTGTGATCTTTCTTTGATCAGAAAACTTCTCTAGGGACTCCGTGGCAGTTCTTCTGGAAGGTGGAAAGTCTGCACTGCTGATGTATGTAGCCTTGTTTTACAGCCAGATATTTTAAATCTGAAATATTGTTTCTTCTGTCTTGGGTTTGAGATGACGAAAGATCTGTGGAGGTAATGAGAGCAGTTTCATCTCCAGGGCCTGCTTTCAGACCTGTTTCAGTAGTCTCAAAACAAAACCCTTCTGTGGATAGCGACCTGCATCTCATTCAATACCAGTCATAGAGCTGGAAGGGATCTCAGGAGTCGGTTTGATCTAGTCTCCTACCCAAAGGCAGGAGCAGCTCTTTATTCTTAAAGACCTCTGATGAGGATGAATCCACAGCATTCCTAAGCAGCCCATTTCTGTTCTTCACTACTCTAATGATAAGCCAGGCTCGTTCTCCTTGTGAAGCCTAGCTCCGTGTTGTGTTTGCAGAGACAAGTGCTCGAGTTGTGCGTGGTGAGACAGGGTTTAAGCACACAACCCTCATGATAATTTAGGTCTGTGGCTGGATTCTGTGCATTTGTCACTCCTCTCCCGGACTGGTACAAAGCTGGGTGTATCTTCTGCCCTCTTCCACATAAACTTCCTTTAGAAAAGGCCGGCTGGATTTTCCTTTCACACAAGCATCATTCACAAAACATCTCTCTTTCCAGACCCTGTGAAGACACAGACTTGCAAGAATGTCATATAAGTGTTGCCTTTGGGTGTACCAGGCTGAAGACGTGCTTATGAAAGTGAGCCTTAGCCCACACACGTATAGCTGAGCGGTATAGTTAGATCCTTCACCGTCCAGCAGAAGGTGTTCTTGTGTAATGATGTGCACCTACTATGCTGGCTGAAATGAAATTGCTCTTTTCCTCACTTTGCTGCTAAAAGATGGAACTTTTAATGAGGTCTGGGTTTCCACGTTAGGGAAAGCACGCTCAAGTGCCCATGCTACCTGTCTGTATGTCCTCAGCACCATCCTGTGCCCCTGTCTGCATCTAAGTTCCCAGCTGTGGAAACACTGTCTTGATGACGTGCAATGTATGTACCCTGTGACTATTTTTCCCTCTTACTTGTGCTTTCAGCCATGACCTAGAACTTAAGAAAGGGTGCACACTGGTCTTGGATTCCTGTCATGCTCCCTGCGATAATTATGTATTTTGAGTAAATAATACAATTGGCTGCAGTCAGACTCAGGACCTCACTGGTGGGCTGGACAGAGACCCTTAGGGAGAACCTCCAGGGAGAAAGCATACAAGGTCAAATTCATCCTCGGCTCTCAATCACAGTTACAGTAATGACAAACTCATCTTTCTGTGTGTAACCAGAGATTTTGAGATGGCTCAGGAACGTGTCTGTGTCAAGTGCTCCCAGAGAAACCCCTGGAGTCTCTTTTGGCCCATCTGCACAAGAGGTGTAGGTGGTGCCCTTGCTCATTATGGGCTAGATGGGTTGTTCTTTCTTAAACACCTCTATCTTCTGCTCTTTATTTGCACCAACATATTCTGCTTAGCGACTGTCTGTGCCCTTCTGTCTTGTTTTTCTAGAATAGACGGGAAAATAATTTTTCAGTGCCTTCTTTGTCACCGGACACTTGCCCACCAGAGCTTACCACCTCAGGTAAGAGTCCTGCTGAATTTTTTTCTTTGTGTGGGTGACAAACACAGCCTTGGCTCCTTGGTGCTGAGGATGATGAAATCAGTGCTTATACTGCTGTAGTGGAATCTAATGGGGTGATAATGAGACTCAGCCTGCTTGGAGAGAGGGAAGGTAGAGCTTGTTCACTCAACAGGTAGTAATTATGTCCATGTTTGTCCATAGTAGCAAAATTATTTACTAAGGCATTCAGAGGACTAAGGCATTCACAGGACACAACTTCCATTCTCAGCCTGTGGTTCATTTGCAGCGGTATCTTTGCCCACATACAAAGATCATGTCAGACTTGCATGCAGCAGGTCTCATTGCAGGCAACGTTCCCTTCTGATGGGAATGGGTGGTCCTCAGAGACACACTACGAAAAAAAATGTTAATGATACTTGTAATGTACACAGCAACCCTGGGCGTTATACAGGCATTAAGGATGCCCTCAGTTGGTCAAATGGGGAAATTGCTTGTAGATGTGATTAAGTCAGATTTCTCCCTACATCCAGGCTTCACTTCTTGTTTACTTTTCCATGCTGTGTTTTCTCTTCATGCTCTGAGTCCTTTACTGAGCTCTTTCCTTCTGTGGGAGAGCTGATAGGATGGCAGCAACTGGGTGAGAAATCAGATCATCCTGCAGCTTAGGTCCCTTAGGAATCACGGGGAACACCAATAACCCCCACGATTCAGTGTCCAGGGAGATGACCTCCAGCAAGATACCCCATATCCCTATGATATGAAGGTTACTCCTGCCCCGAGGAAAAAAGTGGGCTTTCCCTAGCGAGTCCCTAGCAAGCACTGCTCATCATTCTCACGGCCGCAAGTCCGACAGCCCTTCCTTCGGCTGCGAGGCGCTGGCCCTGCTGTTGTAATTCTAAGAGCAAAGCATTGCAAGGAAAATTGTGTTTAGTCTATACCTGGGATTAGTGGGAGAGGCAGGGAGCAGACAGCGCCGGGCTGGGTGTGTGGCAGCGCTCTGCTCCCAGGGATGCCTGTCTCACCTTGGGAAAGCTGAGCAGGCTTCAGCCTTTGCCTTCCGTGCTCTGCACTGCAGAGACCCCAGGACAGGAACGGCCCTTGGTCTGTCCCCCTTGCCCTGAGCATCCTGCAGCCTTGATTTCAGGTAGACTCTTAGGTGGTCACCACCGACAGCCAGAACTCCCAGCGATGGGAAGCAAAGCCCTGGGTCATGCAGGCAAATCCAGCAAATAGCAATGACCTAATCGCTTCCTGACTTGGCTAGGGGATTTTATTACACGCAGGTTTTTTAATGTGAAATGCTGAGGAGGTTTTGTGTCAGTGCTGTCATCCATGAAAACAGACAACTGGCTTTTAAAGAGCAGCAGCCAGGCTTGGAGGCTGAGCCAGTGACTACCACTCTCTTGGTGCCTGATGGATGCCCTGGATATCTCCGTGTCCAGAGCTGACAGCAAAGCCACGTGGAGCTAATCCCGATTAGCCATGCATTGAAGGGTTACACCTCTGCCCTTGAGCTTGGGGAGGAAAGTGTTGGTGGCCAGTCCAGCAAAACCATTTACTACCTCTTGCTGGTTCCCAGCTGCTGGCATTAGCAGAGGGGATGGATACCTGGATTAGGAGGATTGTGCTTGTGCAGCATCTCCGCTGTTTCTCACTGCCTTCTCCTTGGGCCTGGTCTCTGCCGCGGCCGTCAAGGAGGGTGCGGTGAGAAGTGCTCAAGGGGATGAGGAGAAGTGGTGTTCCTTGGCAAGATGGGGCTTCCCATGATGTTAATCGGATCCCAGGCGGGCAAAAGAAATTGTTCCCTGGGCAAATCCTGTGCCACTGGCACGAAAAGGAACTTTGTCACTGAGCTGGGCTGATGGCTTGAGGGTGAGCAGGAGCAGGCAGCAGGGCTGCAGGCACAGCAGTCTGGCTCCTTTTTGGAGTCCGTTGGGGGAGCTCCGGGGCACGTAACGCCTTCTGCAGCCCTTTTCTCAGGGAACCTCACGGTTTTCTTATGGACAAGGCTTAACCATAATGGAAAAGGTGGGGTTCCCTCTGGGGATGGAGGAGCACAAGCGGCAGGGCATGGCAGCAGGGCTCGCGCTCTCTGCTGTCTCAGCTGTGATGGCAGTGCCGGTCACGGAGAGCCAACTGTCAGCAGCTGGCTCTTCCGATCTCATGGCAATTTTTCACCAGCAAAGCAGCTACCGTTTCTGCCTCTTCCTCCCTCTGTGTCTGCCATGCAACGCAGTGGCTCCTTCTACCCCCCAAAAAAAACTGCGTGTCCAAATGAGGGAAAAGGGCTCAAGGCTTTTTGCAGTCTTGGGGAGGGAAAAAATCTTGCACCGGTGTTTTTCCTCATTGCTTTTAATACATCGATTCCCTTTTCCACTGGTGTTGTGAAAGCCAAGGCTGCATTTTATAACGTTCTGGGTTTCAGTTTTGCTTAATCAATTAAAGAAGACAAGAGCCAAGCAGATTTTTTTTTTTTTTTTTTTTTTTCCATAGATCACCATAACTACAGATCCCAAGACTCCACAAAAATTTGTGACTGGAAATTTCCAAAGTACTATTTTTGCAGTGCTAAGTCCTTGGATGAAATGTCCCATTTTAAACTATGTAGAAACCCAGTTTCAGTAAGGGTTTGCCCCAATATCCAGTCTTTTCAATGGTGGCCTAGTTCAGCCTTCCAGGACCAGATTTTGTAAATCCTGGTCTTTGATTTTTTGCCTGCTGCACACACAATGTATTTCATGTAACAAGAGTTCTGAATTTTGCTTTGCAGACACCTCTTTCCTCTACCCAAGTGCTCCTCTATTAACATTTATTTTTGATTTTCAGCACCCGCTTTGGCATCTAATCATGAAGCAGCTTCAGACACCAAACCAAAAGTAGCACTGGATCCCCATGTCCGGCTCAAGGAAGGGAAACTGGAACTGGTAGGTGGAAACGGGTCCCTCTCCCTAAAGTGAGGTCTCCTCTCAAACCTCTCCCAAGGTACGCTATGCAGAAAAAAGTTGACTGGTGTGATACCTCCTTACTTCCAGCTGCCGCATTACTGGCAAACAGAATAAACTTATGTGAATGGTCTCCCTTGTATTGCTTTTCTGTGAAAGAACTGATTGAGACCTTTCAGCTTTGGTTCTTGCACCAATGTCGCACTCAGGCATGTGAGGACCGGTCGAGGTACTAGCATGGGGGCACTCTGTTGCTTGCTTTTTTGGAGGGATTGGAAAATGCAAACCTGAATAGATACAGTCAAAGAGAGCCAGCCTCCCTGTTTGCACAGAATAAAGCTAATGCACTTGATCGGTGTTCTAACCTACACGTACACCATCCTCTGCCGAACAGCCTGCTCCGGCCTAATTCCCCTTCACCTCTCCAGGACACTGATCAGGCTGTGCTGGGAATAGCAATAGCCCAGGTGATGTGTTTGCAGAGCCAGCTGTGGTGCTCAGAACGTTGCTTTCCTTATTAGCATCCTACAGCTCACAATTAATTAATCTGGTTTTGAGACAGAGGCAGAAGAGGGCATAGTGAAACATCCCAATTATGTCTGAAGGGGCATTTAAACACACCTTGGCTCATCTTGGCTATTTCTCAATCCTCCGGGGAGCTCCAGAAGTCTCCTCCTGGCAGTTGCACCTCCTTTGGATGTAATGAATTTGACTCAGGGCTGTAGGTGCAGGCAGCTGCCCTCCAAACTTTCCAGCGCTGCTGGGGTGACCGCAGGCAGCCTGGTATGGGCGAGGGAAGGCTGAAATACAAGATATCTCACTGAGGATCCAGCCAGAACCGCTGCTCCTTTCATCACTTTCTGGAAAATAAATTCCACGGGCACCATCAAAGGGTGGGGAGCGGAGCTGCCTGTTTGCTTGCCAAGACCCCAGCAAAGGGCTGAGTGCTGCCGGGGGGCCAAGCCCCCCAGCCTGGGTTTGGGGTGCATGTCCCCCCCCCTCCCCGGGTACTGCAAGGATTGGAGGGGGGGGCATGGGAAGGCACCCCTTCTGCAGGGTTGGGGGGGGCTGCCAAGGGGGGCCCGATGCAACGGGCATCTGCTGCCACCCCACGGCAGGCGCAACGCTCGCCCTTTGGCTGCTCTCGCCTCCCGGGAGGGCAGCACACAAGCAGGAACTCTTCTGATAAACCTGCATAATTCTCCTAGAGCAGGATTTAGGATTGCATTTTCGCAGCGACCTCTGCTCGTCGTGGGTAATAAAAGCAGCTCTTCTTTGGTGGGAGGAGTGGGGACGCTTGGCTTTCCTTTAAAAAAGCCAGTGGTATGAGCAAGCAGCTGCAGCAGTGCCAGGGTCAGGAGGTGCACAGCCACCTGCACACATCTGAGATGGTTTTGGGGACGCCCACGCCAGGTGCCAACATCTACAGACTGAGGGTCAGGATATCCCGAAGCCCAGGAGCCAGCAGCACTGCCTTGTGCAGGGGGGGGCGGGAAGAGGAGCGGGAGGTGGGACTCAGATGGGCCTCGCAGGCAGCCCGTGAGAGCAGACGGGTCCCATGGGCTTGCTGGTGACAGAAACACGAGCGAGGACTTGTCTCCATCCCCCTTTCCAGGGGACCATGTGGGAGATGCAGTACAGGCATGAGCGGGAGCCACGGGTGCTGCCTGGGACAGGGAAGTGTTTAACTTGGGCTCTTTCCCAGAATCTGCTGGGCTTGACTTTGTCTTTTAAAAGCTTTCACTTGCCGCCAGCAGCAAAGTGGGGCTTGTGCAGGTTTATCTGCCTCTGTGTGGTGCCCTGGGGTTGAATTGATAAATATCAGTAGCAGACACAGCATCAGGCATAATGAGAGAGCAAAAGGTGCAATGAAGAAGTGAAATGCTTGAATGTCTCCTGTTGCCACGGGAAATACTCTATGAATAGCTTTCATCTTCTCAGTTCCAAACGTAATTCCTGGGCAGTAAGAGCAAGAGGAGAGGCTGAGCTCTTGGCAGCTGGGCCTTGCTACAGCTCCACCGACTTTTGATAAAGCTCCTGACAGTTTGTCATAGCTGAAAATCTGCTTGCAGTCTGTATAAAATGTTCTTGGAGCGATGTAAGAGTGTCCCTGTATTCAGGAACAGACATTTCTGTACACGTGTAGGAAAGGGGAGACTGGAAATCCAGCCCAAGTCTGCTCCTTTGTGAGATGCTGCCTGGAGAGTCACTTCCAGGAGAAAACCCAGCACTAAGTGTCTTCCCAGCACCTACTTCAAAGTAGGTGCTTTTCCAGTATTTTTCTTTTTAAAGGTTCGTTGTTTCTGCTAAAGGTTCTGCAGTATCTTGGTCTGGATGTGACTGAGGAGAAGAAGAGGCTGTTAAAGCAAAGCTTGACCACAGACTCACAGGGGACGGTGGCCTACGGAGGTGAGCGGGCAGCTCTGTGTGTGATGGGGCTTTCCGTTTTTATGTAGGTTTGCTGGAGGCTGAGTAAGGAGAGAGGCATCTGCTGAAAGGTGGCAGGTAAGAGACCTGGCTGTCTATCGATGTAGCCTCAAAACAGCTAAGAAAAGTCACAAATACAAAAGAAGCTGTTTGGTAAAAGCATATTTAAATTGAAAATATATGAAAGTCGGTGCCAGGGCTCACTTTGCTTAACCCCAAGCTTGTCGCGCAAGAGCTGGCCAGAGGACACACAGAAAATAAAAGCCTGATCTGCTTTCTGTGACCTGCCAAAACATATCTGGCCCGCAGGGTTTGCTCTCCAGAAGTTTTTTCACAAAAATTCAAAGCCGTCAGCAACATCCCTACCAGCAGCAATGTCCCCACCAGACAGCATAGGCTTGCAAAGCACAACATCTTTTGGACAGACGCTTTTGTGCAGAATGAGTGACGGGATACAGAACCATACACCTCTTCTACGAGAGACTGGCTTCGTAGTTTTTGGCAATAGAAATAAGGATGATCAGGGGTATTTATTTGGCAAATGTGCTGGCAGCAAAGATGCAACTCTTGTGGTAAAGGCTCCTGTTCCTGCTGGAGTCCCGGGCTGAGGACTGGAGGGGCTGGGACCCCGGTGCCACCTCCCCTCCACTGCGCTGGCTCCCATCTGTCCCCGCAGTCCCTTGTGCCGTGCTTTCCTCCATAACCAAAAGCAAAACAAATCTGGGTTTTCAAACTTGTCAATTTAACACCTTTTCTAAGTGCTGAAGTCATTGAGTTGGGTTTTGTTTAAATCAGCAACATGAGAAATACCAGCAGGCAGTCAGGTGCCTTTTGTCAGGGAAAGGAGGTTTTGGCTTAAAATGTTTAAAGTCTGAGAACTACAATCACGAAAACTCCGCTGTGAAAATATCTGGGGTTGTGTTTTTTTAAAAGTTTAATTTTTCTCGATTGGATAAGAAGCAAGAGTCTGGTAAAGATTGTCAACAACTTATTTAAGCTTGATGCAATTGCCAAAGAACCCGGGAGTGTTAGAGAAGACTGTTTGGCATCACTAAACCCACTCTGCTTGGCAGTCGGTGGATGTCCCCCAAACCGGGGGAATTTTCTCCTAACACATTGCGCTTTCCTCCTTTAGCCTGTTAAAAAATGATTCTTTCTCGCAGATCTTCTCCAAGCACTCAGGGATCTGATGCAGGAGGAGCTGAACGAGGCAGGTCTGGATTCTCACTCCATGCTCTTCACGCAGCATGAAGTGGCCAGTTTGCTGGATACATCTGCTTTTCACTCTCTGGTCAGTCAGTCCAATGCTCTTCTACATTGAATCCATTAATCTTCTATATGAAATCCATTAAATTCTGAGATGGGAAAAGATAAATTACCTTTTTCTGGTTGTTCTAGAGTTATAAAGAGAAGACAGAACTATGCATTAATCATTTCAATTATAGGGAATTCTATAAAAGACCTCAAACTTCTAATTTTTAGTAAGGAAATAACAATATAGGATGATATGAAGGAAGCAGCCTAGCGGTGATGCAGAAAGGAAATTAGCCATAATTAATCAATTCCAACTCATTTCACCTGGTTCACAAAATGAAAATTCACTATAGCACAGCTATTCCCGCTATGTCAAGGATCAGAGACTGAAATCCTCTGGGGTGAAGAAAAAAGCTGCAGCTGAATTACTTAATGTGCCTTTTGATCTGGTGCATAAAAATTCATCGTTATTCTGGGTCTGAAAAACAAGAATCCTGCCATATAGCTCCATGCTTTTGGTAAAGCATAAGCAGTGCATGATGCTGCCTGTCCCTCTGTCTTGCAGACCTTCGACTCTCTCAGCTGCAATGGCAATGAGGAGCTGGAGCAGCTGCACCTGGAAATGATGGATCTGCGGCAAGAAGTCCGAAGGCTAAAGGTGGAGCCTCTCCTCTGAGCAGTTTTCTTGGCTGGTGTCTTCTGCTGTAGTTGGCTGTAGTCATGCGCAAGGGTAATGGTGTAGCCTGTCCCTCTTAAGAAGTCACCAGTTTGCATTCTGCACGCTCCTCATTACAAAGGAGACTCACCCTCGGCTCTCCTTAATTGCCTCTTTCTCGCTCTTGATCTCAAACGAAAACTTATTTGTACTGAAAGTATGCTGCCACTTTTTAGCAGCGAGTAAACATATTTAAAAATACAAAAAAAGTGTCTCACAAATCATTCAAGTACACAAAGAACAGAGGCACTGCCTGTTCGTTCATCCTGACCCAGCTGCAGATCGCTGGCATGGCTGTTAGCACCACGGCTGTGTCCGGGTGGGTTTCTGCAGGCATGCAGGTCACAGCCCAAAAAGCACTGTGGTGGGAGAGATTGAACACAACTGCTTCTGTGAAGTATTTTTATAGTGGGTAGGGGCTACAAGACCAGTGCATCTTCTAGAGAATGTCCTATCTCTTGTTGATTCTAATATGGTGAAAATATTTTCCATAGTCGCTCCTGAAAGAGGTGGAGAACAGCAAGAAGTCAATGGAAGATGAGCTTCAGAGACTAAACCAGGTTAACGAAGAGATTTCTAGGGGCCTTGGGGTGGTTTTGGTCGTTGGAAGCTGAGGGGGGATGTGGTGCATTTACCAGAACTTCTCGTTGCTTCCAGAAAGCACTGGGGTTCCTCTCCGAGAACCGGACGCTGCACAGCAAGCTGCAGATGGCAAAGGCTGTGCAGAGGCAGGCTCACAGCGCGGAGCAGGACTATGAGGAAGCAATCCACTTGCTGGAAGCTGAAATTGCAGAACTGAAGATGCAGTTGGCAGGGAAGAAAGCAAAACACGTCTCCGAAATAGAGGTAATGCAACCCCTCGGCCTCTGAAAAAAACCCACAAGCCTCCCGACCCTTCTTCTGCGGGTTCCCCTCCTATTTATAAAGGAGAAAATGAACATAGCTCATACATCATTTGTGATGTATGACCACGAGGCCAGCTCAGTCTCTGGATCTGTGTTATAATCTGTATAATTTCCACTGTCCATTCCAAAAGGACAGTGGTTTTCTGCTTGTAGCAAATGTCATAAATTGGTGTTTCCAGAAGCCAATGCTGGAGTGTCATCACCTTTCTTTTATTCCTCTGGCCCCGTCTCAGGAGGACGTCCGAGAACTGAAAAGACAGTTGTCCCTGGCTGATGGCCAGTTACGAAAATCAGAAGTCTCGCGGAAGCGCCTGGAGATCTGCAATAGGAAACTGCTCCTGTTTGTGCAGGTGAAGTGCTGAGCCACCTCTGGTGCTGGTGGCATCAGTGTGGCCTCTTATCCTGAGGGTGATTTTGCAAGTCCAACTAACTTCCTGCTCCATAAGCAAGAGTTTGTTGTTGTTTTTTTTTTGGTTTTTTTTTTTGTTTGTTTTTTTTTATCTCATCCTAAAAAGGCACTGTCTGTTGTTTAGGAGAAGCTAGGGAATGAACTCATATATACTCATATACTGAAGAGTTATGTAAACACTGTGGTGTGGGTTTTGCCTGGTGGCTCTGCTATCCCTGGCTCACCAGTCCCCCTGTGATGCTCTGGCTGAGGCTGCTCCAGAAAATCATGTGTTTTAACCCTTCCCTTTACATAACGGGACGGTTGCTTCTATACACAATAAATGTGAACTCGAAGAGTGGTTTTGTTCTTCCAGTGCTTTTTTCCCCCCATGTTTCTTGCAAAAGCGCACACATAATTGATTTAGTCTTTTAACTGACTGTTCTTCCACTTCACTACCTATATCAGGAATACAAGCTTGTGTGATTGGTAAACTGGCCAGCATACAATCACTAGTATTCAGTATATCTGCTACAGCTACTAGTAGCCTGTCCCAAGAGAACTTGAAATCACTAGTGGAGTGCAAGGAAGCATAGATACTGTCTTCTGCTTCAGAGAAGGAAGAATTAAAATGCCTCTAGACCTGCAGCACTACATGCTGGTGCCCATGCGATTTGGAGCTGGACTTTGGAAATGGATTTGACTTGGCCCCAGAGTCAAACATCACAGGATTTTGACCGCTGCGACAAAATATCTTCCTTTTTTAGACATCCTTCCGTAGTGTTTGGGAATTCACTAACTGTGCATGGTAATGAGAGCTTACATGTGCAGTTACAACCCAGAAACCAGGCATTGCTAGTAGTGATGATCAAGGCTCGCTGAAACGTAGACTGCAAAATTGTTCTTTGGGAGAGTATTTTAATGTTGCATTTCATAAACTTTAGCGTTGGCATTAAAATGCATAATTTAGATGTGGCTGTATATTTGCATAGGCTGTGAATGTTGCTTGAGTTGAGTTGCAAAAGGCCTTGAGATATTCGCTTCAAGGGCAATGAATAAGCAGAAGCTGATTACTGTCATATTAAATCTGATCACCAGGAAAACCCCATGAGGTTTGTTCTCAGCAATTATTCATTCCTACAAGTTTCAAACTTTTTTTTTTTTTTTTTTTTTTTGTTGCATGGCAGAATGTCCACAAGGTCCTGAGCACACCCAGTCATTTACCAGATGAGAAAAGGTAGGAGATGGCTTCTGGGAGTCTTGAACAGAAACATGAAATGTCTGTTTCTGACCTTTCTCAGGGGAAGGTGACTCACATGTAACCTACCCAGAGCTTCTAAACATACTGTTGCTTTGGAATTGAAACCACTGGGGAAAGATGAACTTGCAGGCTGCTGGTGGATTGTAATTTGGTGGGATTGGCCTCTGTTCAGGCTTTTGGGGGGACCGAGTAGGTGAAACACTCCTCTGGTTAAATTGCTCTTGTTAGCAGAGACCTCAAGCAGGTTGATTCAAAGAAGCAGAGTTTTGACCTGCTCACTTTTCCTAACATAAGTCAGTTTTTGGCTTTAGGATCATGTCCTTTTTTATTAGCAATTACAGTAACTGACAGAGTGCAAGCAAAGAGCTAACATGACTCTTAACTGCGTGAATGCTTGCGGAAATAGATTTCAGGCTTCCAGTCTCTCCTTCAACCTGAACCTATCCCCTATCACTTGGAAAAAAATGTATCATAACTCTGTGTGCTTTTAATTGATTAAATCATTAAAAGGTCACTGTGCCATTGATAATACCCATCCCTTTTAAAAAATCCAGATTTTAAGAATTATTTCAAATAATTTTTAAGTTTCCAAGACAGTTACTTCTGTTATAATGAAGGAAAAATGTTTTTGAGAAATTCTAAGAAATACTTTGATATCTGTCTGTAACACAATGATGCAAGTATGTCTAAAGGAGTGTCCTGTGCTGTTGAGTGACTGAGACAGAATCCCCCTGAATACATAGAATTTACATAGAATATCCTTCAGAAGAGACTGGCCAGGATTTTCAATGACCATTCTATGATAGAAGTATTGATGATGCTTTCCATATTTATAAGGGTCAACAGTGAAACAGAAGGGCATAAAACAGATGCAGTCTCAGATACATCTCTTCCATCTTCAGATGTTGTTGGCCTTTTGATATCAGAAGCTAAAGAACTGTTAGCATCATTCCTCTCCAACAAGGATGGTAAGCACTAAATTAACCGGAGAAACCTGAATCCAAACAAGTCTCGAGGATGTCTGTTAGTGTAATTTACAGCTTCCACCACCTTCTGTATTTTTTGTCATACTAGTTAAGCCTCCCATACATGTACCTGATTCTCTCATGCTGAGATGGAATTGCCCTCTGTGTATCCATGTGACTCATCTTTGAATCTGAAATGCAGACTCGCAGTATAAGGAGTCCAAGGGTGTGACTTGTGCCCAGGGCCGGAGGAAAGACATTTATCCATGGAAAAAAACTTAAGAGGCAGGAGGGTGGTTTCATATAATTGGAGAAATTCTGGTTCAAAGGTTCTGCTGGAGATCAGGAGTCAAAGCTTCTGCTCCAGGTAGGGCCATCACACTTGGTCAGATCTGCTGTGCTTTTAGCTTCCAAGGATGGAGATCCACAGCCTCTCTGGATAATGTGTTCCCGCGCTGCATTATGCTCTGTGAAAAAGATTTTCCCAACATCTAGTCTGAACTCCCCCAGGTGCAATATGTGGCCACTGCTCCCAGTTATATTGTCTGTCACTGCCAACAAGAGCTTGGCTCCAACACCTTTCTAATTGCCCTTGAAGTAGGAGTGGGTGCTGCAAGATTGCCTCTCAGCCTCCTCTTGCCAGGATAAACAAGCCCAGCTCCCTCAGCCTTCCCTGGCGTCTCCTTGCAGGTTATGAGCCCTAGGGCTCCCTTTACTGGACCCTGTCCAGTTTCTCAACAGCTTTGAACCAGGGATCCAAACCTTTGTTACGCCATCCAGGTACAACTACAGCAATGTTGAGCAGAGGGGAATGGTAATCTCCCCGTTTCCTTGGCGTCCAAATCAGCCTAGGGTCCATTCCCCTCACATGTCTGTGGATGGGAGAAAATCAGAGAAAAGACATCAAAAGGAGCGTTTCTGATCTCCTCTGTGTCAAGATCAGGTGAGCATACAGCCCTAAATAGGTGCCAAGTCTTTATTCTTTGATGCTATTCACCAACTAAACATGGCTATGGTCCAGCACGGTCTTTGTCTCAAAGCACAAGACACAAGGAAAATAATTGTAGCCTTTAAGGAGCACTTCTGATATATGTCAGCATTTTCAGAGTTCCTGCATCATTTAAATGTGCATTATCATAATGTAACAGTGCTACTTGCACTGGGCATGTTTTCTAGCCCTTCACTTATACTTGGCTGTGTGTTTACATTTGCAGGTTTGCCATGTGACAGGGACGAGTGCCTGCCTGATAAAGGAATCCCAAATCACAAGGAGTAGGTGTCAAAACTGCTGTGGTCTGTAATTTTGACAATACACATACTAAAAAATCCTGTTTGTTTTGTTGGGTTTTTTTAATAAAAATTTTTGCTCGACAACTTTTAAACAGATAATCTAGTAGAGGCCTCCAGATGGCCATGTCAGAGTAATACATCCCTTCCTAGACAGCAAGAGACTTCCTGCCCTGCACAGTGTGAATTCCTGGATCTCTCATTTGTTTGCTAAAATGTTCTTTTTCCTTCAGGCCAGATTGGAATTTACGATTCCATGGCTTGTCTAACTGACATTTTTATAGACCACTGTGAGTTCTGAGTAAGGGCAAAAACATCACTGAATGTGTTCATCTATTATGTTGTGGTATCAGGATGCTGTGAAGTCCCAGCCAAGGCGAGCAGGACAACATGGCTTTGTTTGGACGTTCAGTATCTTAAGAATTTCCCTGCAACCTCTTAAATGGCTTATATTTAACAAAACCATGTCCTAAAGATATCTGCTGAAAGGGCACTTGGAGACCTAAGTGTCTACTATCACTGTCTTAGCTGATCACCTTAACATTAAGATCTGCTAGCACAGTTTTTTAGTTAGGTACAAAGTAGACATTTGAAAACCATGATTTCAAGGTTATGAAAAGCATTTTCAGACAAAGCAGATGCCCAGTACAGTCCACTCGCCATGCAAGATCTGTGGCCTCCTCTTTTCTTTCCTAAAATAATCAGTGCTTCATGTCCTTCTCCCAAACTACGTAAAACGTATTTCTCATTTTCAGCCATCTTCATCAGAAGACTACGTGGCCCCCTCCCGCAAGCCAGACCAAGGGTCATCAGCTGCATCCAGCAAGTCCAACCAAAGAACTGCCTAAGTAGCCTACATCGACCTTTCATGGCTTGCTCGTGTTCCAAACTGCGACTGTCCATAACACAGCTACTGCTGTGCTGGGAGATGAGAAGGACACACCATGGGTGCTTCAGCTTCCAGGCAAAACAGACTGAGAAAAAAGTTTTCTAACATGAGACTTTGTGTTTCTTCCTAACTATCCAAGACTTTATCAAGAACCTCCCCTGCACGTCTACCTCTGAATTATCATACAAGGCTATTTGCTCAAGGTTTTGTAGCTTTATAGGAAAAATATTCCTGAGAGGCTACAAGGGCCTGGATTTCACTGGCAGCCTTTTAGAGCTTGTATTCTGGGCAGTAAGAGGAGCATGAACGTACCCAAGGGACTTAGGGGTCTCCAACAGATTCCTTCTGGTATTTCATATGAAAAACCAAAGTATATTTAGTGACTGTAATCAAAGCAGCCTAATCTGTATCATCCTAGCTGTCTTGGGACAGGTACTTCTCTTTTTATTCTTTTTGTATAGCTTATTCCAGCTGCAATGCTTGAAATGGAAAGCACCATCTCATCTACCTGTTGGACAAAGAGTGCAGAGATAGCCAGTTGTATGCTACTGGCGATGATGTATTGCTGAACACCAAGCACTCCCTGGAGCGCAAGAGAGGACATAGTGAATATATTTCAATAAAAGCCCGCAGTGTCACTTGGAAATTACATACACTTGGTGCAAGAGTGTATGTGGATAGCAATGAACGGGCTAGAGATCCAAGATGAGCACAAGTTCTGGAAAATAAAATGGAAACGCTGCTCACAAGGTGTTTGCTTTCTGGGTTATGATTGCAGCTGCTGTGTCCAGCATCTTTGAGACAAATACCCTGCCTGGGTCCATTTTTTCCTCCCTCTTATTTTGGCAGCTGGTAGCCAGATGCATTGAGAAGTTGCAGGAAAATGGGGTGCGTTCTGGCTTTTACACAGAATTGTTACACTTACTTCAAATCTCCTTTGTAGGGGTTCAAAGCGTGTGGATCCTTCATACCCTAAAATAAGGGCTTAGGAAAAATCATGACCTTCACCAGTATCTACTGTACTTGAAGATATCACTGCACTGTGAGAACAGTAACTCTGTTGTGGAATCTGAGTCACATAAATAACCAGTCTGAAATTTTGGTTAAACTTAATCTTACAGCTCAGAGTAAATGAAATCTTTTGAATGCATGCCTCAGGATATAAATTAAAGGACTTCTTTTAAAAGGAAACATAATTCTTTGGACCAGTCACAAGGAATATTCCCAGGAAGGAGATACTTTAAAAAAATATTAATCTTGGGATACCCTATGGTTAATAGCTTGTTCCCCTCAGCTCTCTGCTTCAATGGAATGATAGTAAATACTGGTGTTACTTGTGAGTTTATCCCTATGGCTTTGTTCTCATCTCATGAGTTATACAGACAGGGCAAAGCTGCAAGAAGACAGGTAAGAGATGTACAGAGCAAAATCTGGTCTCAGCAGTTCGGTCTACCCTGTCTATAGAGAAACATCTCCAGTTTCCCTGGGGTTAGCATAGCAGATACCGATCTGTTCCTAGCAGTGTGTATTCGAAAGTACTTGGCTGGAGGTTGCATCCTAGGGAGATGTCTCCAGCCACTGCTTGCCACACTTGCCAGAGAAGAGTACAAACAAGATTTTGGGAAGTATCAGGTCTTCAGCTGTATCGTGTCATTACATATACCCAACGGCACTTGAGAAACCTAGTAGGAAAGGGACAAGTTATGGGGAAAACAGAACTATTTAGCCCAAACTTTAATCTTGTGGAAATCTATGGGAGTTTTGCTACCAACTCCAAGAATCATGGAGTTTTCTCAAATAATCAGTATTGAACTGCACTTCCCTGAGTGCTGGAAGGGCACAGCCCAGTCCTGTCCCAGCAGGGATCAGTTACATGGTCTGAAAGAGAATGTACTTGATGCTGCTTCCACAGTCAGGTGATTTGTATTTTAATGTTCCAAGAAAGAAGATTTTGTATGAAAGTATCACAGTGGGTGAGGGCTTGGATGAGACAAGCCTGGCAAAGCACAAACATTGTACAGTTGATGCCAACACATGGCAAAGGGTGGAAACAGTGAAATGCTGACCCAGGGCTGCTGTATTTTGTGTATCCTGAGCTGTCTGCTAGCAAAAGATCTGTGAAGATATTAACCTTTTAAAAAGCCCAGGCAGTTCTGTGCTCTCAGCTTACTGGCAACCTCTTTGGAAAAGAAATCCTCCAGGTTCCTATCAGCCCCTGGAAATCCTTACATCAAGAAAGGACCAAGTATTGTGTGCTTTTCAAAGCAGTCCTATTCCTTAACTGGTTTACAGTATTTTCTTTGAATTTATCATGTTCCTTTTGCCTTTGCTTCAAGCACAGAAAACTTACCATTCTCTATTAATAACGCTGTTACTAACTGCCGCCTTTTCAGAGCAATGTTGAAAGCTAAGATATGATGAGAGTTGTGCTCCTGGAGGTGATGTTGATTTTGGTGACCCAGAATAACAAACCTGTGTCGTGCCTGACTCTCAGGCAAGTGGAACTAGACAGAACTCAGAAAGTCACGGGGTGACTTCTCCTCACAGAGCTCTCCACCAAGAGGCAAAAAGGGAAATGCATAAAGAAACAAACAGCACAGAAAGAGAAGTCACAGAATAAGTCATTTAAGCAGGATGCATTTTATTTATGCAGGGCCTGTTTAGCACTCTTGCAGAAAGCTGAATTCTGTCTTCATTTGCAATATTATAGCTTGCTAGTAAGGTTGTGGAGATGTACTGCTGTCACAATGTGCTGTAGCTGTCTAAGAGGGCTCGGTATGACTGAACAGAAATGAAGAGAAGGAGTATTTCTGCTAAAAATGAGTCCTGCATGGTATCAGATCTTCCTGAGTGGATAAGATGGAAAATGGCAAGTATTTTATGAGCCCCTGGAGAAAATGCAAACAGTCCCCGTAAATGGGCACAATAGACCGTGTTCGACGCATTACATGTGTATAAACTCACAATGATGTATTTAAAGAGCATCAGCATGATCAGCTGTTGACCTGGAAGCTTTGGGGGTTAAATATCACTGATGCAATGATTTTGTTTTGTATTTCTCTTATGCAAAGCAAAAATTTAGTTCTTCATTGTTGGTGGGTCAGGGGTTGAGAGACCTCTTTCCCTAACAAAATAAAAAAAAGATATGACTATCTAACTCCTTTAGCATCTGCAGAAAAAGGGAAGGTTGGGCAGGTAGCCACCTAGGAATTATCTTGAAAGGTGAATGTAGCAGAGAGCCATTAGCACACTGTTTATCTGCAGTCTGATGGGTAAGGTAACTGAATCTGCTGTAAATGCACTGGACTAGAGCTCATTAGGTCTCCAGTTTCGTCTCTGCCAGTGATCTCTGCCATCTCACTGTGTGACCTTGGGCAGCCCATTTCATTTCAGTTCTGCACCAGAAAAACTGGGACTGACACTATCTGCTTCTCTGAGCGGCATGGGGAAGGGGAAGCCCTAGGGACCCGTAGGATATGGGGCACAACCTTCTGGCACAAAAGGGTCTGGTGAATGGTGTGGCATGAGGTACTGCTGGTGTGCCTTTTCAGTGAAGAAACTCTCAATAGTTCAACTCTTGATGGCTCGCAAAAGCACAGATCCAACTTTTGCTTAGCTTTCATGAAACAGAGCTAGGTTAAGTGCTTAGAGGTTTCTCTACAGAGATGTAGAGGTGGCAGAGGTGAAAGCTAGCCCTGAACACTGCTGTGGAGCAAATTGGCACGTCTGTTCCCAGCACTGGAGGCTGTAGAACTCCTCTTTCTACCAGCTCCACTCAGTGACACAGACTGGACTGGAGCCCAGTTCTAGAGAGTGGAAATACACATCCACACCGCTTTAAATATGGCTCTGAAAAGCCGGTGAACTTTGCTGCTGAATTTTTAAAGACATTCTTTAATGTTTAAACAATGCTGATTTTCTAAGGGTTGTGGGACACATGTGAAAGAGGGCTGGAAAGCACCTTAGTGTGACAATGCAGAAAGGGCTGGGCGGGATGCATGAAGCTGCCTTTCCGCTACACCATGATCTTCCTCCTGCCCACACCTCCAAGACAGACCACAGAATTTCCTGGCCTCACTGATTACAGTGTTGCCTCAAACATCTTTTGCAGCTTCTTCAGAGGTCAGCTGCCTTCATAATGAAGTAAATAGGAATAACAGTACCATGAACCATCCCTGCAAGTTTTTTTGCTGCACGTGATTCACCAGCTCAGTTGAATTTCTGTTGAGCTTTTTAAATTTACGCCCACAGATGAGGCATGAAAGTTGAGAGGAAGAGAGAGTTTGCAGTGAAAAGTCCTTGGTAATGGGGGAATGGAGGCTGAATGGTATCTTCAGACCAGACGTCCTTCCTGGCAGACATTCTCCTTTCTAACTGCAGAGACTGGCAGGAGTTCCTGGCCTGGGCTCTGCTATGGGGTGAGAACTTCTTCCTGAGCAGCTCCCACGAGAAATACTGAGGGCTGACTGCCAGCCCTTGAGGCAAGCACCCGGGCCTTGTAGGTGGAAGGATAGCAAGAGACTCCACAGCCCTTGGGAGAGCCCGGGGAGAGTTGGCTGTGTCAGGGGAAGAGGTAGCCTACCAACACTGGAAAATGCCAAGGTGACCTTTTGGCGGCAGGAGAAAATACATGTTGGAAAACGGGAATTATAGTCAGGGCTGCCCAGCAGAGGAAAGGGTGGGATGTTACCAAAATCTTGACCAGGTTTTATGACCAGAACAAAATGAGAACTGCTGCTACAGGTCACAAAGTAGCAATGGGCTAGTGTAAGTTTTGTAGCAAGAGGGTAGAAACAGTATTTTATTTGTACTTCTGTTTTCTCTGAGGAAATTTAACAGTGATTGGGGAATTGGAGAGATCTACCCTTTCTCTGAAAACCAAGTTGCATTCTGAATGGGAAAAGACAGTATTTCTTTATAAAGTGAATGCAGATGTTGCAGGCCTTGAATAACTTTGTGGCTTTTGATGCCCAACTGTTCTGCGAAGGCCTCTAGGAAAAGCTGCCTGCTCTGACTCTGCAGGCTGCAGCCCTGAGTGCTTTGACATTTGATGGCTCTGTGGGTTCATTGTTTACCGAGCAGTGTCAGGCTGGTCTCCTCTGTTTGAGATAGCAGAACATTTCAGGAAATATTGCTTATCAGAAGTAGGACCACAGCTTGCTGAAATGTCTGCCCTGATATGGGGATGCTCTACAGCTAGAAGTGATAGGGAGACAGGAAAAGAAAAAGCAGCAGTGAGTGAGATGTTTTTCAATAACATCATGCAAAGTGGCAGCTGGTCCCTAGGGAGATGCTGAAATGAGGCTTTGAAGGTTCAAACATTCCCAGGCTGGTCTCCCACATCCCTCTCCTCCACCACTTCTTGGTGCCACACATTCCTCGTGCTCCGGGACCATGCGCCCACTCAGCAGCTGCCTCTTCCACCCCAAAGTGGCTGCAGCATGGGCGTCTTTTCCTCCAGTAGAGCCATGTCCTCAAGGATCCCCACCACTACCTGCTACTGCCTCATGGTTTGATGAACAGAGTCCACTCTCACCACGTGCTCTGAAGCACTGGCCAAATGGAATTTCCACAAGGTTCAAGAAGCAACGTAGATTTTCAAAGAAGCTAGGAGAAAAAAGGCTGAGAGGTGAAAATGCATCCCAGCGTCCTCCTCAATGCCACTTAGCTTGATGATTGCCTTTTACCTCGTCAGAAGAATTCAGTTAGAGGAATGTTTACTTAAAGCGTGAGTTTGTAGCTGTGTAATAAGTCACATAATAACTCGAATCTCTGTCCAATGCAATGATAGGAGTGTAAGGGCTGAGGCGAGTAGGCATCTCAGCAGAGCAGCTCCTGAAGGCCTGATCCAGCCCGTGACGCGTGGCGTTGGGTTTTGTTTGGGAGCTGTGGCTCTGCCTCCTCCGGCCCGGACCCTGCGCTGGTTTCTCCTCCTCAAGGGCAGGCGCCGGCCTGGGAAGCTCAGCCTGCAGGCCGGGATGAGCTCGTCTCTAAGCTCAACCCCTCTTCTGAGGCAGATACAGGTCTCAAGTCAAAGCCTTCTGCACATTGCGGCTTACCGCGGTTCAGCCTGCTGCGCCAGGCCCGCAGCAGCAGGGAGCAGGAAACCCTGTGGTAAAGCCTGCGGTAAAATTAAAAATAAAAAGAATAAAAATAATAAAAATAAAAAGAATAAAAATAATAAAAATAAAAAATAAAAACAATAAAAATAAAAATAATAAAAGTAAAAATAATAAAAATAAAAATAATAAAAATAAAAATAATAAAAATAAAATAAAAATAATAAAATAAAAATTAAAATCTCCCGCCCGGGCGGCCGGCGGGGACCGCGCCGCGACATGGCGGCGGGCGGCGCACGTGTGCGGGGGCGGGGCCACCGCTCCTCTCCCCTCCCCGCAGCACAATGGACAGCGGCGCGGCGGCGCGCGGCGGGGCGGGGGCGGGGCCGGGCGGGCGGCGGGGCGGGGCCGGCGCGCGCGGCGGTTGAAGCGGCGCGTGGAGCCGCCGTGCTCGGTACGGGCCCGGGCGGGCGGCGCCGTGCCCGCGGTGAGGAGGCGCGGGGCGGGAAGGGAAGGGAAGGGAAGGGGGGGCGGCCGCCGCCGGCCGCTGCCGCTCTGGGCCCCCTTTCTCCGGGGGTTCGTCGGCGTGGCCGTGTGAGGGAGCGGGGGGGCTCCGGGCTTCCCCGGGCGCGGGGGGCTGAGGGGCGGCTGCCGTGCCTCGCTGGGCGTGGGGGCCCCTCGGGCGGTGGCGGAGCCTTGGGGGGCAGCGGTGGGTGGGTGGGGGTGTCGGGAGCCGTTATCCGAAGGAAACGGAGAGGGAAATTTAAATCATAATCCTGCGGGGATTAGGGAGGGAGCGGGTGAGAGCCCGAGTGGCAGGTTTAGGCTGGTTGAGCATCTCTTCAGGTTTACCATAAAAAAAAAACAAGCAAACACAAAAAAAAAAAAAAGACCAAAACAACAACAAAAAAACGGTTTTAAAGTTTGCTGGTTTCTGTCCAGCTTAGAGGAAGTTGGATAAACGTTGGCTGTCCTCTGGCTGGAGGCTGGCGGCGGGTCCCTTCGGAGCAGGCTCACCCCCAGCACCGGGGGAGCAGTGAGGGGCACCCCGGCTCCCCTGGTGTGCACCCACAGCCTTGCTGCTGGGCTCGCTCCTACGAGTGCGGCTCCTCTCTCTGCTGAGTTCTCGCTCGGCCGGTCAAGTTTTAAAAAAATAACCCCCCCCCCCCCCAAAAGCTGGCTCTGAAGTATTCGCAAGCTCAAAGGCTGACCCTGGTAAGTTGCTGCTAAATGTATTGATGTATTTGGGTCAGCTTCTATATAAAATCCCACTGGCTTTAGGGCAAGGTTAAACCAAGCATGTGCTGTTCTCTGGGTCACTTGGTTTAACTCCTCCAAGTAGTAAAATCGGCTAGCGGATGGTGAGAAGGGGGTTCTGCTGGTGCCACTGCTTGTCTGATTGGGCTAATGAGTGTGCCTGTGTACAGCATGCCTGTGTTCAGAGAAAATGACTGTGAGCTTTTACTTGGAGCAAGCCGAAACAGTTTTGTGCTGGTGCTTTGTTGCACTGTCAAGTGACCTGCTGACTGGACCTACTCTAGTTTTACGTGTTTTACTGAAGCATGTCTCCGTTCTTAAATTGAACGTGAGTATTGGATTGCTTTTGATAATGTTGATAGATTAAAAAATTGTGTGGTATGACTTCTTATGGAGTAGCAAGGCAAGAAATAAGGGGCTTTCCTTTAGGAAAATGTATCTACTGCTGCAGATTGGCAAATACCAGGGATTTAGTACGTGGCTGTGTGTGAAAGGTCAGTGGTGGTTCTTTGGTAAGAAGATTAATTTATGAGATGAAGGTGTGGAAGTATTAGGCATGGAGCTTATTTTGGAGTTTATACATGGAAGAAACTGCTAGGCTTATGAGGGTTTGAAAGCAAAATACTGTACACTGTTCCTTCTTTTTCCCCCTCTCAGCCAAAGAGATTGCTCCTTATTGTGTTGTAAAGAACGTCTGAATGTTGTTTGAATGTTTGTGTTGCTTGTCTTTGATTATAACCTGCACCGGGACTCCAGGCATCTCTGCAAGGTGTACAAAGTGGTGGCCAGGCTCCACGGCAGTGTGTTGGCTTGCAGCTCTCTGTGCTGCTTCACCCCTGCACCATAGGTGTTTCTCAGAGTAAGATGAAGTCCTGCCTGAGAAGATGTCTGATTCTAAAAGAGCTCTTAAAGGCTCATGCTGGCACCATTCCACTTTGATGCTTCCTTATATCAAACTACAGAAGACTTGTTCTCAAGTTCTTATGTGAAAGAGCTCTGATAAATATCCTACAGCTTGTTACCATCTTATGTGTGTAAAGCATCAGCTACTGTATCAACATCTACCTAAGTGAAAGGGATTTCAGGTAGATGTCACGCATCTTTCTCTCCACCTTACTCTAGAAGAGGGGAGGAAAGACTACAGCCTTGCAGTCCCCCTTTTTCTAACTGGAAATATCAACTTAGCTGGGTGCCGCAGCTGGCTTTCACATGTTGTAATAGTATTTGAGGAAGTCTGGAATTCTGCTATTTTCAGCAGTTCTTTGTCAAAAACAAAACAAAAAAATTGCTCAGAAGTTCTCTTCCAGCTGAAAAGAAGCCACCATGGGTGGGAGAAGTTAATAAAGTCACTTGCTGCTGAGTTTCACCATCTAACAGGCAGCTCTGATGTGGAAAGAGCTGGATGAGAAGCACGGGTTGGGGGCTTTTATTCAACTTTGTGTATATTTAATATATAAACTCAATTTCTGTTTTCCAGCCATCTGGTTGTATTCTGTCAAGTAAGCCTCTCCTACAAATAGTAGAATAAAAGTTAAGCATATGGAAAATCCCTCAGGTACATAGTGGATGATTCTAAATAAAACAAAAACACATAGTTAATATCACTGCCTCTCTTCCCTTTGCTGTGGGTGTAGTGATGTGTATTCCTCATGGGAGCCCTCACACTCTTCAAGCTTGGTTAATATATAGCGGTAGTTTTGCATGCTGTGTGTACACCACTTCTTGCTAAGAATTCTCCATTTCTCTGAGATGCTACCAAAGTTACAGCAGGGAAATGCACGTACCATCAGCGGTTTATATCCTTCCATTTCGTGTCCCTTTCCATGCCCTCCTTCTGCTGGTACAGTGCCAGCTGGTGTATCTCAAGTTTATAATTAACTCTCTGCCTTCTAGGGTTTGGGTTCATCTGTGAGTTGCTGTATGGGTTGTAGCAAAAGGGGGTATGCAGGCCAGCTGGACTCTGCAGGTTGCTGCAGGCTGTTGAGCCTCCATGCTGTTGGCACTGCTGTCAGTGTGTCGCGGGATGCTTTGTGAAATGCGGTAGCTGCTGCTGATTTCTCTGTTCAGGTGTGCAATAATTTGAAACACTTTTAATATCAAATTGGGATGGTTGAAGTGATTATTAGCCAGATAGGTTGCTTCAATGCATTGACAGCTTCAGCCTCTCTGAGTTTTTACAAACTGCACTGGGCTTGGCCAGCTGAAATCGTGCTTTTTCCCTAGTGTTACCCAATGAATGGCTACAGGTCTGCCTCTAGCTGTGGGTTGGGGTTTCTAAGTGATCAAACTGCAGTTTAGTGAGTCACTGCTCCTCAGCTGAGCTGTGTTTCCTAATACGTGCTTTTAGCTAGATGCAAATACAAAGTAGAGCAGGTAGCCTGGACCACTGTAGAGGCTGGAGTGGTATGACGGACGTTGAAGGAGCAGACATACTCTATAGTTGTGTAGTTTCTTTCTGTTTTTCTTTACAAGGTGGTTGAACATATCTATTTATAACTTGAATGGAATACATGAGATGACTTTAAAAACATGTCTATTTTTTTGATTCTAAAGCCCTGTGAGGATGCAAGTCTTTAGCTAATATGGCCCAGCTGCCCAGTGGTAACACCTGAAAGTCTTGCATTGTTATCGGTGCTATTTGTGCCTCTGTACCTGTGTGCACTGAGTAGCTGCCTTTCACCGCCTTTTCTGATTTTCTTTTTTTTTTTCTTTTTCAGGAGTTATAGGTGGAGTTCCTCTTGCTTTGAGAAGCAGAATGACTGTCTCACAGCTCTGTTTTGTGGGGAGGGCCTAGAAGGTCTGCCACTGCACTTTTCCCAAGGTATGAAAGGTTTCTAGGGCAGGTGTGAGTTATCAGCTGTCTGTCTTCCACAGCTTCCCATGGGTATAGTAGTCACTGGCTCTTCTTCTCAAACTTCTCTCAACTAGACAAGTACAGGGCAGTAAACCTGTGCCAATCAGGCATTGCAGCTGCTAGGAAGTAACAGATCTGTCCAAGCAGCATGGTTAAGGCTGTTGAACTACAGCTTGTGCTGTTCTGTTGCTGGTGACTTCGTTTCTGGGCTGCGAGTGGCTCTAGACTGAGTGGTCTGTCCTACGACCCTCTCCTACAGAGTTGCAGGAATTCCTGGTTTAGCAAGCGAGGTCAGGATGGGGAGCAAGATCACAGCTAAATACATCTGACGGGGCTTCTCTTGCTATATTTGCACTTACTCGGAAGGTTCCCGTACAGCCTAGGTATCGCGCTTGCATAATCATATTACAGCGTTGCGTTACAAGGTGCCCCATGCCTCTTGGCTCGGGTATCTGATACGTGATAGCAGCCTGGGCTTCCTGGGTGTTTGCTTGTCCCTGCTCCACTCACTTCAGTTTGAGTTGGATGCTCTGCTGATGCTTTCTCTCTGCATTTACTTGCTCTGCGTGGACGGGCTTTTAGTATCAGTAAGACTCCTAGAGATCCAGCAAGTCCTGAACATTGCTCCTTGGGTAACGTGATCCTCTGCAGAGTAACTGTCCAATTGCGAGACCTTTCTACAAACATTCCCTCTTCTCAGGTACTCAAACTTTTTAAAGTCTTTTTTTTTTCCCCCTCTCCCTTGCTTAGATATTTACTGTGCAATGATATTTTGCAGCAGTCTTTCTGAGGGAGAATCTATTGCCATTTGCCTTTTAATTCATGTTTCACTTCCATTTTTGGGCTTAAAATGTCAGGGATAAGTTTTCTTAATGCTCTGACTGTTGAGTTCAGTGCTACACTGCGTCATGTTGCCGAGGGCTGTGTCTGCTTAGCAGTGGAATTTGAGTGGGGTGGAATCAGCATAGTGTCTCAAACCAGCCATCCAATCTTTTGTGTTTCTGATATTCATAGATGGTATTAATAGGAGCAATATAAAGGAACCTAAAGGAATTGCAGAAAGTAGCCTAATAAGCTTTTTAATGGTTTCTCTACTTTCTGGAGATGCTGGTTATTGATGCATATTTGAGGGTTAAAACCCTAGCAAGAGAGTCTGAGGGAGGAATCCTGATGAGAACAGTGAGAGGTGGCTAGGAGAAATGAAATGCTGAGAACTGAATTGTTTCCATTGCATGCAGTTATTTCCTTAGTTCAGCTGGAAGCAGTGGGCATCCAGTCAGTGGGATGTGATTGCTAGCTTAGCGTCAGGCATGTTCTTTAAGCATGCTGTTTCCTTTTCCTTTCTTTTAGTGGGTTGAAACAACTGAATGCTACTTTGTGCACAAAAACATTTAAAACACCAAGATATGGGAAGCCATGGAAGCTTTCAGCAAGGGGGATTTTGCGTAATGATTACAAATGTAATGCAGAAAAGGGGGATAGAGGGCAGAATCTCCCTTTAAGCCTTGCAAGGCTCCTAAGACAGTCTCCTCCTCCAGAGTACAATTGATTCTGGCTTTACATCTCTGTTTTGTGCTTTAATTATCATGAGTTTTGTTGGAGCAATAAGTTGAATTTACTGCAGTAGTGTTGAGAGGCAGCAAAGGACTATGACTGCAGAAACCTGCCTTTTGTTCTGTCTCTACCACGAACTGGTTAAGCAATTCCGGGCAAGATATTCTACCTAATATGTTTCCTCCTCTCTATCTGTGAGAAGTGCTAAGGCTTCTAGTAAGGTCTGTTTGTGAAAATTGCTAGAAGGTATTGTGGGATTTGGTGTAAGGGATCTAAAATGTTCCAATTTCTTTTTATTCTAGGTGTGTAGTAAAAATGGTGCAGAAATACCAGTCCCCAGTTCGAGTCTACAAATATCCTTTTGAGCTCGTCATGGCAGTGAGTAATACTCAGCACTTTTACTTCTCCAGCTGCTAAGGGCTGCAACCTTAGGCCAGTGGGAGGTGGGGGACTGCGGTTTTGTCTAGCATGTCTTTGTAGCAACCTTATGGGTACATTGTGGGAACAGAGGTTTAACTCTCATCTTTTTGTCCTTTCTTCAATTTTCTGTGAAAAAATAAGAATCAGCATCTCAGTATTTTGAGAGGCAGTTTAATCATCAGAGGGGAGGAAAAAACCCAACAAAGCCCAACCTTCTGTAGTAAGTCCTTCACAAGGAAGGAAAAAATTATGACATTAGGGTAGGCAGGGTCAGTCTGTGGCCAGACACCATCTTTGCCTTATCACCAAATGCCACTCAGTTTAGAATCTTTCCAGATAGGATCCCAATAAGTATTGAAGGATGTATGTATCTAGAACTTGATTCTAAATCATACTGGCCTTTTTGATTTTGTTAAAAGCTGGAAATCTTTGGAAAAATTCTTCCATATTGTTCTTCCCTGTTCACTCTGTGATTTGCAATGTTGGGAGACCTCTCTCCAAGTTTTGTGATTGCCACAAGGGGTTTGAGGGCTCTAATTGCAGTTCTTTTGCTGGTGATGCAGGAAGCTAATGTGATCGTGGCAGCTTCCTTAAGTAGAGTTTAAAGACATTTATGATATTCTGGACTTTGTCACTACTCTTCAAGGTGTGAATCAAATATTCTTCTGAAAGGCTTGCTGTTTGCATTTCAAGGGCAGCACTGAGAACTTGGGCATTTATCCGAGGTGCTTGCCTATAAACTCTTTCAAAGATTTGTTTTGTAATCTGTTGGGCATTTCAGTCTACTGTAGGGCTCCCTGAAGCTTAATATTTGCCACTTTTAGTCTGCCACTTTCTCCATTGTCTGCCTTCTCTGCTGAACAAGGGCACCAGTTTTCTTTAGTCTATTACAGATCAAGAATGAAGATGGAAAGCTATAGCGCCATTTCAGGTAGCTGACATCATTCCCATGAATGGAAGGGAGAGCCTGACATAATACAGCGTGTTCCTTTTGACAATGTTGCCTCTTCTAGATTCCTGGGAAATAAGTGCTGTAAGATTTGTTTTATTCAAAATGGCCTCCATTCTTCTATTTCAGTAGTTAAAACTGGGGGAGAGATTCTTTGTTTGGTCCTAAGTGTGAATAATGGACCCCAAAAGTAGCAGCAGTTCCTTAGCTGAGAGTGGTTGATGTTCACTTTGGTGCTCTCTGATCAACATGAACACTTTTTTTTTGTTTTTGACAGTTGGGCTCCCTCCCAATTTACTTCCCCCCTCCCCCCCTCCTTTTTTTTTTTTTTTTTCTCCAGTCTTATCCAAATTTGCCATGTCTGTTAACAGCTAAGCCAATAACATGTTGTAGAAGTGCCCCAACCAGTCTGGTGCTGAGGTTTGTGCTAGTGAAACTTTTCTGGCCATGTTCTTTGCTATTTCAGTGCATCCTGTATTAGAATAAGACACCAGTGCTTTTTATGAAGATACTGGTAGTCTTTGCCCTATGCATACCTCTCCACATTCCTGTTGTCTGTATTAGCAGGATAAACCTAACACCAGATGTCTGTCAGTAGATTGACTGGTAATATAGGATGGCTGCCTCTGGACAAATCCTTTGTAAGCTTGTTAGCAGAATGCTTAAAGGCCAGGATTTGATGGGTTTATTTTTCAAGTGGTTTAGTTTTATTTGCTTGTAGTTTTTCAACATAACAGGACTTTAGAATTCCCTGGGATTTCAGGGCTGGGATTGTAAATGTCATCCTTTAGTTGTTCGGCAAACTCAAATTCCCATTACCTTAGCAAAGTTATTGGTCCTTTCTTATGAAGATCAAGTTACTTGTCCAGGGCTACCAAAGGTCTGTGTAGTGGAGTAGGGAGCTGAATATAGACCCCTTAGTCCCACTCTAATGCCCTGTGAAAATCGTGTGTTCACAACAGGATCTGCTTTATTACGAAGACTGCCGTTATAATGTAGCGTTTCAATCTTCGTGGCAGTCCATGCAGGCCGAGTTGGATGCAGGCTTTGTTAACGCATTTGATATGTTCAGATGGAGTCTTCCATTTGTGTGGAGGCAGTGCAGATTTCACAGAGCTGTCAGGTGCTAGCTGTCAGTTGCTGGAAGTTTTGCAGGGAGAGTGGGCGTACAGTGAAGCTGTTTTGCTCCTCAGCACGTGGCATTGCTGTTAATCTGCTTCAGCATAAATCTGACAGCAGCTTCTTCAGCACTGGGAACCTGATATTCAGCTTCTTTCATCTTTTCCCCTCAAATGTTTTGTGTGAACACTTGGAGTGCTGAGGTCTTATACTGTGGTTAATGGTAGGAAAGCAGAGGTCGCATGGGTGACCTCAAGACACTTTCTTATTTTATGGGTCTCTATACACCCTTCAGCCTGATACACTTGTGCTTGATTCCTCATCTGTATAACAGGGAGGGTCATACTTCCTGTTGTTTGTTCAGGCTGTCATAAGGTAAGTAGTGTTTGTTAGGAAAAGTATTTTTTCGCCCAGAACCTTGGCTGTTTGGACCCCACTATAAAAGCAGTGCGTGTGCTTCATTCAGATATGAGAATCTGAGAAATAGAGTTGTCATGGCCAAATGAGGCAAACAATTCATTGCTTCCTGCTCTTGTTCAAGCACACAGTGTTTCCCATGACTTTTGTTGAGCCCTGCCACCAGGAACACTATTTGTCTTCCTTGGACTTGTACAGAGTACGTGTGTATGCAGCTCATCCTCTAGACAGCACGGGACTGTGCTTGACAGATGAACTGATGCTTTGACTGTTAATACCCTTGTTATTGTGTGTCTCTGGATAATTGTCTGTGGATTTACACTCTGCTGCTTACTAATACTACTGCAGCTTGCGGTCTGGCATTTGCAGGTAGTAGAGTTGATGTATCTTCCAAGTCCTTGGAAGGAGAACCACATTCCCCTTCCTGCTCTCTTTGCTGGTCCTGTGCAACTGAGGAAGTAAAAAAGAATCAGTTTACCAAATTTCTTCTGGTCATTCAGCAGTTGTGAATTTTTTATTTTTCTTGCTAGAAGACTCCTCCCTTCTACAAAGATTTAAACAAAGGATGATCTTTCCTCACCTGTCCAAATTCACAGTAGTCATTTTTACCTGCTTTGTTCCCAATCTGCATATTAAAGGATCAAAAATGTTATGTTCTTCAGATTATAACAATTGCCTGCCATCTTTATCCCTCACACTTGAAAAGAACCTTGATGTTTGTTATGCTTTGTGATCTTGTCACGTTTTCCATTTCCATTTTGTATCTTTTTTTTTTTCTTGTGTGTGTATCTTAAATGGGTTGTTCATGCCTCTCTGGGCCTGATCTTGTCTTCTCTTCAATAGACCGGCAGGCTTGAGATTGCTTATGTCTCCTGATTTTATTTTAGAGCCAAGAAAATCCCCAAGTATAAATATACTTTTTGTTTTCTTTGTGTGGTAGCTGTAATTTTAAAGCTGAAAGTTGTTTCTTTTACCGAAATGCTATAATGAGGGAAAAATCCAGAAGGAGATGGAATTCTGCCATGTAGCTCATGAATGATTACTTACTCTGTAAATTGTTGTGAGCCTTCTCTGATGCACGGAGATGAGAATTTGATTTGGGTGAGCAAGTCCAAAATGCATAGTTGTACAGGAAGCAGAGCTGAGAGAGAGATCGCATGTTTAATATTATTTGCTGCCAACGTAGGTTAGATGAAAGTGTTTTGGCTTTGAAAATAGTAGGGAGTTTTGTTCCCATTAATTTTAGTAGTGCACTCAGCCTTTCGTGCTCGTAATAGTCATCTGCCATTTTCACATACTTTATAGTATACACTGTTGAGAATGATTCCTAAAGCTATAGGTCTTGAATAACCCCCTAGGGACTCTTACGAGGTCTTCCATACTTGATGTATAGTTTAAGTTGCTGCAGTAGCAGTGTAAATAAGAAACTTCCTGACAGCACTTCTGTCTAGTATTTGGTACTCTTGCCATGTTTACAATGCACTTCAGATTCAGCTCTTGTTGGTAGTAATAGCAATTTATGGTTTCTGCTGCAAGCAAGGGGTCTTTCTGCACAGCCTGGTGCCAGGGGAGTGGTGAAGGATGCAGATCCTGAAAAGGAGAATGTTCTGCTTGCAGGTTTTACACCTTGAACCAAAACAAACCTTTATCACTTCACTATCTGAGATCATATCCTTTATATGAAATGAAAGCTCTGCAAAACATAACACTAGTAGGTTAAAGGCTGGATTTAGTTAAAATCTAAAAAGCTGTACGTATATATGAAAATAAAAGCCAAGTTACATATATATAAGCTTACTACATGCAGGATATCAGCTTTATAATTGCAGCACTTGAGGGATTTACTACTGTTATCTAAAAATGTCATGGTTTTGTAAAGACAGAACAAACATCAGGCATTTGGAAATTTGCAGTAGCATCAGCTCTCATTGCATGTACCAGTTGTACTGCATGCTTAAGTCCAAACTGCTCTTGAGCCCCACATGTGCACCATGTGAATCAGTGCTTCCTTCTGCTTGACCTCATTTCTTGGTGCTGCCCACGGCATGTGTTGACACATATATGAGCAGCTGAGAGCCTGATCTCTTGAAAATGCACGCATGGACAGCAGGGGTGTATGTTTTTCACTGCACTGGTTGAGGGGTACTCTTCAGTCTAGGGTGCTTCTGCTACATGCAAGATGATTTTGGGATGAGGGGCAATTGTTCTGTGGGTGCATGTGTGGTGTTCAGGCATTTCTTATCCTGAGCATCACTCGGACTCTAATAGATGTGTTACGTGGCAGCTCACCATGCCCTTGCCTGTGTCTGCAAGTGAAAGCTTGGTCATCTGAGGTCCTGGCCTGCCACCTGCACTTTCAAACAGCTCTGTGACTCTCTTCTAGTATTAGCAGCAATCCAATGTTCTTTGTATTTAGTTGATCTGGAGTTCTTTATTTTTCAGGTAAGATAAAGTAAGAAATTAGTGGTGTATA